GAGATCGACTCGGAACAGGTCTTCGTAACGACGATACCAGGACTCAAACGTTACGCCGTTCTCCAGATCATAGGAAAACTCCGAGATACTGTTGGTGAGGCCGTCAACTGACGGCGTACTGGCAGGAGCGGCCTGAGACGACTGGCGATCTGCAAGCATCATCACCAGCCGCTGGAGTAATTGTTCCATCCCTATGTTACTCATCACAAGAAAAATCTCACCTGCGTCGCCAAATTTGTTACGTTTGCCCATAACAAAAGAGAAGTCCACTTAAATAAAGGTACCAGATCCCTTGCTGAAGCTAGAACCGACTTTCCCAGGCTAATACAAGAACAAGACCAGAGCTCGAGTAGAGAGCTTTATTCACGTGAGCCACGTGCAGAGAAGAGGTGAAATCGAAAGTGAAAACAAAATTAATTCAAGTCAAGGTTTATCCTGACTTAATAAAAAGCGTAACAAAACAAATGTTAGTAAATTAATGTAAATAAAATCAGAAACCAATCTTGGGGAATCGTGGATCCCCAACAGTAAATCAGACAGTCATAGACTCAAATCGGAAAAGTGAGAAATGGGGCAGAGTGTGCACAAGGACGCCGTCAAATTTGATACACTGATTGTTGTGACTCGTGTTTATTCAACCCCTTAATCCGGTCGCTCCGCCTCCGACACATGGTTTCCCTTTTTTGCAGCATGACGCCAACCGCGCGAATCCTCAACTCCCCCTTCATTCAAACGAATATTTATCTTGGATTATCCTCACACATAGGTCTCGATGTTAGCGCAGTTATGACTCAAACATCCGAGCTATAAATACACACGCGCAAACCCCACACACCACCACGGCTTCGTCAAGTTCTCGAATAAACGGGTGACTCTCTGTCCTTCCACAGACTTTATCCTTGTTTGGGTAGTTAGTAGTATATAGCGTCTCAACATGGTTTTAAGCTACACTTGAAACATCGGAACCATCTCCCCTTCAAAAATGGATTTTCTTTCTATTCAAACGAGCACCAAATGGACTCAGGTTGTGCTTCACAGCACAAACGAGGTGCGCGTAAGTGTTTGTGGCAGCGTGTGACTCGAATTACATCGTGGAATCACTCACACCCACTCGGTTAGTACAAGCTCACATATTTGAGAAAACCGCGCGCCCATTCATTAGCCAGTCGAAGCGCAGCACACTCGATGGCCCACCACACTTAAACCGAAGTTTCGAAGTGTGAAGACCTGAGAAGAGGAAGGAATCTGCATTAGTCGTCAGGAGTCTGCCTACCGCTATTGTGAGTAGACATTTTTTTCGCGCGTTTCCGGGCATTTGCAATTTTAACATTTGTCATGGGGCTATCCTCATTCAACAATTACCAATTGGGTGGGCCGGTTATGTGTGTTCTACCTGCCGTCTTTAGTCCATGCATTTGTGTGCTTTGTAAGCTATGTTCGAGTTCTGAGACCTCCATGTAACTCTCATTTCGGCTGTTTCTCCCTTCGAAATGTGGGTATAGGTAAACGTGGGATTTACAATGAACCAGTCGAAGGGCTCTCATGGAATGAGACTCAGTTTCCAGCCCCAACGCTACCCCGAAGTGAACTTGTTGCGTTTTCAGGAGAAGTATGTGCCTTACAGTCAGGCTTATGATGTCGTAGATTCAGCGACTCAGATTTGTCTGGTAGAACCGCAAAAACGCGACGTTATGACGCAAGTAGGTACTTTTACATTTCAGTAGGAATTCCACAACACCGCCAACGCCTGTTGCCATATTTCTCAAATGCCTGCCGATGTTTAGGTCATTCTTCAACCCCGAAGATGCGATGTTAGCGCTCAAATAAGCACTGTTACAGTACACGCCAGCATGCAAGTAGGAGGGACACACGAGCCGACGCCGCATGATGCGGGCACCTCGAACGCATCAGCGAAGCTACCAGCTCCACGAGTGGTTAGCAATGAAAAAGAGGCGAAGAATCCTACGAAAGTCAGGGCACACGGGGTCACCGCAGGTAAAGCAACAAGTGGAATGGCAAATTTTTATTTTAAGCACTCGCCCTTCACGAGGTATCTCTTTAGGTGAACCAGTGAACAGAACAAGCCCTGAAACTGAGTCAAACTGATGTTACTGGGCATATTTCGAGGAAACACAAAGCTATTAAAAAATTATGGCGACAAAGACATGGTGACCATACCCCCTAATGCGATTTGAAGAGTAATCGATATAAGTAAAGCACTCTACTAATGAACTTCTAGTGGCTTTTGTTTTAAGCCGGATTTTCGTCACATTCGATGCATTAAGGGTAGGTTTTGCAAATATTAATCTGTAGAGATCATAACGACAATCGTGTTGACCGGTGTTAATTCCTCTCCCAAGTGTGCATTATGAACAGAGTTCCGTTTAGCGGTATTGACGCTGGTGCAAGTGGATTAGTCACAAAGCCCGTTGTCACGATTTTCACCCTAATTTCCCGTTGTCCTTGCCGCTAATCGGGGTATCAAGGAGAATTCACTGTCGCCTTGAACCAACGGCAGTTGCCTAGTGATGTAAAATGCCTTCTGATTCCGTCAGATTGAATAGTAACTCTGCAAGGTCATGGACATTATTTTCAAGACTAAGTTCCTTGTTCTGATTTTTTAAATATTAAATAAACTCGCCAAAAATAGGTAAAAACTAAGTCACGCAGTCAGGAATTATGTGTATCACCGATACTTGCGTTGCCATAAGCGGCAGTAACGACAAAAGACTGATCCGATTTTCTTAAACACCGCTTTCCTAACCAACTCTTCACATTTCTAGACCCAAATTCGACATATTTGGTGAACAAAGATTCTAAACCAGCTCTATTTTTTCAAAACCTTTGACAGCCAGGTCTTGACGGCCCGATATAATCAGATCATTTTCTATTACCTTAAGCCACGAGCAGCAGATGTATTTATCCATTTGATGATTTGTAATTTTTGGTTGAGAAGTGTGATAACCGTCAAATGGTTGAATTAAGGTAGAACGAAGACCACTGTAGCCACAAATAGCACAAGTTTTTGACTGTTGACAGTCCTGACCACCTTCATAGGCCTTCCTGACCATGATAAAAAAGCCACACATATGCTTGGGAAATGACATATTCTTTAGAAGCGACAGCCCAGAAAAGCAAAACGATCTCGTTGACGCACATCAATGGTGCTAATTTTTGACTCTTGGCAAATTTAAGATCCATTTCTGCAGCATTAACATTAAACAGGTTGCGCTTTATATTGTTCCACACTTAAAATCAGAACTGAACTACAGAAAAACGTGATTTGAGTTTAGATCAAAATTGACTGTTTTGATCTGATCGTCAGTAACTTATTTTGATAAAGACCTACTTCGTCTGAGGGTCCTTTATCAAGCGCTTTATTTTAAAGACATTCTTGATGCCAATATTCTAGTTTCAAATGTTCTTCGACATCTAACAAGCGTCATACTGCGAGCTTTAAATGCAAACATTAATCTTTTAATGACTGAGTCCAGTGGTAAAGGCGCTTCGAATTCACCGTTATTCGTCATAAGAGCATAGAACCAGAGTTCCTAGCAAAATTCTTTACTAATGCGACTTTGAAATCCCGAACTTGTGAGGAAGTAAAGGCGATTCGAAACGTTTGATAATGTTATTCTAAGCAAAAAATATTGTGACAATTAATAACACACAAATAAATATTCAACTCTCTTGTCCAGTTCAAATAACTGTCTGCAAAGACACCACTCGTCCCGTGAGCAAGGAGCTCAGAACACTTATTAAAAGTGGGAATTAAAGCAGCATATAAAAAACGACTTAATATGTAAACATTGCATCAAATAGAGACGTATACTATATTTTGAAAAAAAGTGAATGCATTTTGAAAAATGTGAAAAACATTTTAAGCACGTTACTGGCTGCTTAGGCTTTTCATTAGCAGATATTTTTTCATTATGTCGCAAATACTTTTCATTGCCCATTATAATTCAATGGGAAATTTTCTTGGTATATAAAATTCGATGAGAAAATACCACTATCCGCTACTTTTCCAGTCATTAGCAATTCTGCTGCTTTACAAAAAATTGTTTGTATAAAGTTTTATGAGACTCAAACAATCGCATGAAGATAGTTTTAAGTATTGGAAAAGCAGGCAGTTTAAAATGTCTTAACGGTTGTGGAAACATTTTTTACATAGACAATGACTGATATTTTTAAATTGTTATTGGTTTATGCAGATATTATTATCAAAAAATTGTTAAATTAATGCCTAGGACATGCCATTCAATTTGTATTTACTGGTCGTGCTAGAGCCCTCGGTATTGTAGTGATTCCACGTTAAACGCATAAGGAAAACTTTTTCCAGCTACTTGGAAAAGTGAATATTGGTGCACAATATACGTCAGACATTTTGAAAAAATTTATATCACTATATTTAACCATGCTGTTTTCAAATTGTTTAGCATAATCACGCGTAAACATGATGAGTTGACAAAAATCAAATATCAATTTTAGAGAACCAGCAAAATAGAAGAAAATGTTATTTATGTAAAGATTGATATGGTAACTTTAAAAGGGGAACAGGGCGCCTAAAGACACAGGCTATTACTGGATCTAATATATATTTTGTGTCCAAATGTCAGTATAATTTATTGGCACGTTAATTACTTAGTGCAATAACCGATTTCATTTTCTCTCGAGCAGAAATGGGGCGACCCTATTAACCATGATACAAATGCCATACGCAACAAAACATAGGTTATGAAATTAAATACAGAAATATGTGTACACGTATTTAGACAAAATGAAACCGTTGATTTTTGTACAATATCTGTTTTCGCATTAATCACGATCTTAATAAAAAATTATTAAAACAATAAAATTTGCATTTTTGGTAACAGTCGGGGGAATTTAAAATAAAATGTAATGGTTTCAGACAAGGTCTTTTTTTTAATTACTTCAGTTGTTTAAATACTTGAACTCAATTCACAATTTCGCCCCTACCTTTCGAACAGTGTTTAGTGATGGCTAGCAAGTTTGTGCAAGGTTTGACAAAGCAGCTGCCTCGTCTTCGTAATAGAGGAATTGAGATCCTAAGGGATCCTCGTACGAATAAGGCAAGTCTGTTGTGGGCGTCAAATGACTACGGATACTCAAACATTTTTGTATTATGATTCAGGTGTTATGGGCCTGGGGTACATTGTCTACTTTTTTGTTGAATCTCGTAGATTTTGTTTGTCATGCACCTTTCAGTGTTTTTTTATCACTGTAGGCCTGTATGGTGTATGCAGTTTTCGTGTCGACATATAATTTTTTAGCCCTCATTACGGTCCTAACGCATCCTAATCGTTATAAAGTGAATATCTGCCTTCGATTTAAGAACTCTTTTTAATAAAAGATGCTGATAACGCCGTTGCGATATGTTAAAATAATAAAGATGAGACAATCACCCCTTTCATTGCTGCCTTCCTAAAGTTAGATATGGTAAAAGGCAACTTTTAATAGTTCAAGTGGTCTAAAACTGTTTTTGGCGATTTAGAGACTGTTTAAACATTTTCTCAAATTATTTCACAGCAGTAATTTTAATGCTCCTATCTAGTGTGATAATGTCTTGCATGCTAGCTTGTCATGCTAATGGTTCTGATTTTACGTATTGTTGTGTAAACTGTTCTCATTGAATTAAAAATGGTCCAGTCTTTGGCTCACTTTCTAAATTTTCAATTATATTTGATTATCTGAATTTACGCAGTTTTATCGTGTTTTTGTGAGCTTATTAAATGTCCACAGAATATCATACGATTAGGCCACTCTCTTGCAATTTATCCAAAATGGCTTTGAAATCTCGTTTTTTCGTTTGACACAAGTCCGTTGTTGGCATTTTTATGCTTAAGTTCTACTTGTCTCTTCTTGATTTTCTTTGATTTATCGTTCAACATTTGAGTCTGGCTTGGTCGGCTTTTGTTTAAAGATCGAACATTTCAACTAGCGCTTTGTTGTTTAGGATATTTTCCAGTCCTATCGAATTTTTGCGTTCCGCTCTAAAGGTATTGTTCAAAAAAGTGTTGCTAGCGATATTTGTTCCCGCAACTTCGTCTTCAAAAATAATATTTGGGCCAATTTTACATTCATGCAAACATATAACGTCTTGTTTTTTTGTTTTCTTCCACGTTTTTATCTTTTCAAAGTTTTTAAGGAATTTTCCTGAGAGTTGTGTTGCTGTAGTGCTTTCTGTGGCTCTCTAATTTATCAATCCTCTTTTCAGATTCAAATAAGTCTGGTTTGCTAGATTTGCCAAGTTCACTTTTTCGCACCAGTGTTTATCTCCAAGGTTTAGTCGTTGTATTTCAGTAAGCAGTAAAATGTTGTTCACTGTGCTATTGGATATCCAAGACGTCCAAATATGCTTTACCTTGGACAGATTGTTTATTTGGAAAAGGTGATCGATTTTTGTCCCCAGGGGTTTTTTCAGTATTTGTGCTGGTAAACAGTCCTAATGGTGGTTGCAGTTGCAAATGTGCCTGTCTTCACAAGCGCTACTTCAAAGCGGTGTTCATGGTTACCCGCACACATGAAACTTGGCTTTGATCAGCTAAACTCGTTTTATTCTCGGCAGTGTCATGACTCAGCTGAATAATTCATTGCAAAAATGCGTTCGTTCTATTTACTTTTTCAACGCGTAATTTGGCGATAAATGTCAAGAAATTAACATAAAGTTTGGTGTCGCCCGTCGTTCATTTGGCATTGGTGTTAGAGTTTCGTTTTCATCTGTCTTCGGTGTTGCCAGATTGTGTGTCGATTAAAAAAAAACACATAGGCTACGCAAAGCCGAGAAGGACATGATTGGCTAATGCTTTTCTGCATTGTTGGAATCTTTTTCAACCAGCAAGCTGGGAGTTGACCAGCGTAGCAGAGGCCATTCCTTATTCACTCAGCAACCTCCTTTTTTTAAGGGCGCGGCTTACTCCCTCAACGAGCGTCAGGTTTTGGGTCTGCATGGCCTCTTGCCGCCGGCAGTGCTCACGCAGAGTGATCAGGTGCAGAGTGTTCTGACAAATCTCTACGCCCTCGAAGACGACCTCGGCCGCTACAACACGCTCATGTCCTTACAAGACCGAAATGAGAAGCTCTTTTACAAGGTTTGTGCCCGCTTTTTGCTCTAATCGTTTTTTTTATTCAGACCGTCAGGAGTAACCTCGAGTATCTTATTCCGCTCATCTATACACCAACGGTCGGCAAAGCTTGCTTGAACTACGGCATGATTCTCCGGCGTCCTAGGTAAGATTGATGTCCCCTAACTGGTCTCTTCACACGGGACCCTTGTTGTGGGAAAGTCGTTAAACACCCGTCCTTAAACGGGAGGTCCAGTTGAGGCCCACTTGAACGTCGTGTCGCCACACACACCTCCTATCGCACCTTGTGCAATCTCTGAAGTGCGTCATTCGCTACAAAGGTTTCACCTCCGAGGCTTTGATAGTGTGGGGCAATCATTCGAGTAGCCTAACGTCGCTCCTAATTGCACAAAGCGCATCAGTAATGCGTGTAGTCGCGCAAATCATACAACAGTTGACTGCTTTTTGTTTGGATTTATTACTAACGACTCGACTGTTGTCTATCGCGAAGCATGCACACATGCGGGTTGTTTTAAATGTTCTCTGCAGCGCATGCGCACATGATTTGTCCTAAACGGCCGTTAGACTTTTCATGTGGTGGTTTTTCGGCGGTTAGCACAAACACCATGCTTCCGTTGTGTGCTTTTTACCGCTCACATCAACAATTTTATAATTAAAGGAAAACTTGCGTGCTAACAGAGCTAACACGTTGTTCCTGGTATCACGTTCATGTCCATTCACACCTCGAAGTCGCAAGATTCGTCATAAGCGGAGGATTTAAGCTGCGAGGTGTAGCCGGCTGGGTTGACTGTGTTTCCTAGCTTCGGCTCACCAATTCACGCACCTAGGGTGTGCTGTTTCATGAATATAGTGTAAACTTTTTAACCCCTTTTCGCATTGCTGTGTAGAGGCCTATACATCACGATAAATGACAAGGGTCACGTCCGCAGCATTCTGCGCAACTGGCCGGAGAAGCGAGTGAAGGCGGTCGTTATGACGGACGGCGAGCGAATTCTCGGGCTGGGTGACCTCGGTGCCCAGGGAATGGGCATACCCATAGGCAAGTGTGCCCTCTACACCGCCTTGGGTGGCGTCGATCCGCGTGCCTGCCTGCCCCTCATGATCGACGTTGGCACAAACAACGAGTCACTGCTCGAAGTAAGCGCCCACATCGCGCCTTGACTTGTTTTTGGTTAACTCGAGAGTCATCATTTTTGCGCCTTTCAGAACGAGTTCTACCTGGGTCTGCGCCAGAAACGCATCGGCACTGAACAGTACTATGAATTGATGGACGAGGTGATGGAATCTCTGGTCGATCTGTAAGTCGCGGCTTTTTCAACTCACTACTCGGCATTAGTGGTTTCTGTTTAATTTATTAATTCTAACCGTTTGAACTTTAACTCACGGTGTAAACGAACGCGCAGAGACCTGGTGGTGGTAGTAGTAGTGGTGGTAACTCAACTATTTATGCTAACCTTTCGTTGTTTACGCCAACTAGTTGTGCAGCCATGGTAATGCCACCAGGTCTCGGTCAGGCCGGCATCACGCCGGTTCATGAATCAGCTTGTTCTCGTGTCGGTCTGCGATTAGCGCGTCAAATCCGAATTGACCTCTGACCCTGATAATCCGATCACACAATTCCGTGACTCCGAAGGCGTCGTTGGCGGTTGTGTTTGGAATCGGTTTTGAGCTTTTTTGTTGCCTTTTAGATATGGACCCAACGTCTCGATTCAGTTCGAAGACTTGGCCAATAAGAACGGCTTCGCATTCCTGGAACGCTATGGAAAGGACTACATTGTGTTCAACGATGACATCCAAGGTAGTTGTATTTAACTCCGCCACCTTTAACCACACGTTCTGTGCCTGAATAAGTGTTATTCGCATGTGCCAGATCGGTTTGTAAGCAGCCCAGCATGTCAAGTAAAATAGCATGCCCACATCACCCAGAACCCGGTTAGTCAGTTCACGCCTGTGGTTTAGTTCTCAACTTTCACAACCACCACCTCCCCTACTCTTCAAACCCCTAGTCTGACACGACTTGGTTTCCGCTCTTGCGTGCTGACTCATCGGTTCACGCCAGGCGGCCCTAGTTTCCCAGCGAAACACCTGGAGTCGACCGGCTTAAAAGCTACCAGACACTGCACCAACACCGCTCAAACTACTAGCCTAGCGAAACGTATGACCGAAAACACTTGACTGTCCACTTAACCGCCGTTCTAACCTTAGTCCTCTCTCTCTCTTTTTGCCCATTGTACTGACCGACTTTTTTTTGCTTTAAATCTTTTCTCTCTCCCGCTGCTCGCACTCAGGTTTGTTTATCCATTTTTGAGTGTCTAGTTTGTCCCGTTTAAGTCCCCACGTGCTCTATTGAACCCAAAGTAGGTGCTCTATTTGCTCTTCTGCTTGTTCTCCTGCCGTGAAACGGACCCGCGCTCGTGAGGTGCGGCCGCGATCGGCGATTTACACTGCTATGTAGAACTGCTCTTCAACGTGATTTTCATCCCATAGGCTCGTCTAGGTGACCCATGGGATGTTTGTTTTGTGTGTGTAGCTATCTCTTTTGTCTTTTTTTGCCATACTCACGATGCCGTTCTCTATTTAATGAAGCTGGCTTCAGCCAAGTTAGCTGTTACTCAGCTGTCCCATCCAAGGGGGTCTATTATTGGATATTAATCAAAAAACGTAACCTTATGAAGCGCTTTGTGTAACAAGTGGTCGTGAAGATCGATCGTTTATTTTCATTGGGTCAATTTCTATTACCGCTAGATCAAATGTGTGCTTTTTTTACCCATTTTTTAATTGACATTCCAGAATTTTAATTGTTAACACATTTCCATCCTGGTTGTACGACAGGTACACCCTTGCGATTTGGTTGATTGTGATTGGGCCATCCCAGGTGCACGTCGACCAATCACGTGTCCGCACTCTTGGCACTCTCGCCAAAGCCGTTTCCGGGCTGGGCCCAATTGGTCCGCGTTGTTATTGGTTTTTAGATTGTTGTTGTGCTGTTCGTTTTGTTGTGGTAGTAGTAGTAGTAGTAGTGGTAGTAAATGATTTAATAGCCCTTTCTCCCCCCAAAGAGTCTTCGTCCAGTTAATGGGCCAGTTTTTCCCATTCCCCCTGTTAAGGTGCCGCTGCTGTCGCCTTGGCTGGTCTCATCTCGAGTACACGCATTACCAAGACCAGTCTTTCTGACAACAAGTATCTCTTATATGGAGCTGGCGCCGTGAGTTTTGTGTGACTCTTTACAGCCCCCTAGACTGAACTGTTGTGGTAGACCTGTCTACTATTAAGCGGCTAGTAGCGACGGTTTTAGCTTTTGTCTATGCTTCGTTTCGCAGGCTGGTACTGGCATCGCCAATATCCTCGTCGCGGCCATGAAAGACGAGGGAGCGTCCGACGCACAAGCTCGTTCTCGCATCTACATGATGGACTCTAAGGGGCTCCTAGTCAAGGTAACTACGTAGTTCTTAAGATAGGCACCATCTGCTTAGTTCACTGCCATGGCGACTCGCTTTTCTTGGGACTGCGCCACTTTACAAAAAGCTTACCTTTTGAATATTGTCATTGTTAATCACTGCGGTGCTCTGGCAAGTGGGTCTGGAAATTTTCATTCCCAAACCCACCCATAACTGATACAGGCTAACGGTGCAACATTCTTCACTACCGTCGCCTTGTGATCTGATTAATATCCACCTTTGTGCTCTTTCTCACAATAGAGCCGTCCCGGTGGAGTAGTGGAATCTCACAAGATGCCATTCGTGCGCGATGACGTTGGACACGTCGAGCGTCTCTCCGACGCAATCACCCAAATCCGGCCGTCTGTTTTGATTGGTGGGTTTCAAAATAATCTGTGTTGATTCGTCCGTTCAAACACCTGATGCTCAGCCAGTGTTCTCCAGCTAATGTTAGGTTTTTTGCTACCTTTTCAACAAATTTTCGTTGAAAGTAACCCGCATCCATCTCGTGATTTCGCATTAGGCGCTGCGGCCGTGCCAGGCGCGTTCACTCGCGACATCCTGAACATGATGGCGACCATCAACAAGAGGCCCGTCATTTTCGCCCTGAGTAACCCCACGGAGAAGGCGGAGTGCACCGCCGAGGCCGCTTTCAAGTCGACCGAGGCAAGTTGAAGGCGTTCAATCACCCCGGTTTTGCGTCACTTTCTAAAAACAGCCTTTGTGTAATCCCTTAAACAACCAACCTTATACTCACTGGCTGTCATTTTCACACCCTTGCAGTGTCGTTGCATCTTCGTGAGCGGTTCGCCGTTCCCGGAGATCCGTCTGCCCTCGGGCCAGGAGTTCTACCCCAGCCAGGGCAACAACTACTACGTCTTCCCGGGTGTCGCCATGGCTGTCACCTCGGCTCAGATCCGACCCCTCACCCAGGACCTCTTCCTTGCCGCGGCCAAGGTGAGTGTTGTTCAACCGTATGCTGTTGTTTTTGTTGTGGCTAACTATGCGTGATTGACGCTGTCCCGTGTGTCGAGTTGTTTGAGGCACGCTGTTGGTTTCGCTTTTCGTCACGATAACTGCCACGCGGTTTGAGTGTGGCCGGGCTAACGCGATGCTCAAGTCAAAACAACATTGACCGTCCTCTGCTGATTCAGTGTCCCATAGGGACAGCCTAACCATTGTTAATGTCATGCGTCGTTGTGAGCTGCGCTGGGCAGAAACTGATTTCGCGTCATTGTTCCTGGCTCTTAAAAACATTTCCTGTGCTAAAGTAGCGAGAGAGTGAGCCCAAGTGCAAGATGATTGATGTCCGCTGTTGGCATCACGTGGCCATTTCTAGTGGTCTCAGTAACGCCATTCCCTTAAAGGTACTTGCGCAAAAACCGAGGGACTAGAAATAAAGGCGTCAAAGTACGGTGATTAATGGTAGAATTGTACTTTTGCAAAAATTCCACTCACTCGAATACGCAATCACGGATGCCATACGATGGTTCAATCGTACTTTCCCCCTCTGCCTTGTGTTCAAACCGATGCGATATGTGGTACGCGTCTGCTTACAAAAAAATTCACATTGTCAGTCCAGCTGCAACACAACTATTTGCGCGTGAATTGGTGGCTTTTATCACATGTGCCAATTTTTCACACGATACCGCGTCATGCACCACCTAACGGTTTATAAGTCAACAACCTGCCCCCGGGTGTTCCATCACCCTTGCCAGCAAATTTGTATACTTTTGGTGTGGATACGCGACATCACGGAACCCGTATCTGCTGTTGCACTGGTCTTGACCTGCTCAGGTCACGTCACCGCCATCGAACTCGTTGGTAGCCTTTCTTTTTCTTCCTGTGCGCCAAATGTTGTAGGCGTTGGCGGGCTTGGTGACTGAGGAGGACCTAGCTGTGGGTCGCACGTACCCGCCCGTGAGCAAGCTGCCCGAGGTGGCGCACAAAATCGCCGTCGAACTCGTCACCCGGTCCTTCGCCAACGGCACCGCCCAGTACCAACCCGAACCGGCTGACAAGGTGGAGTTCATTCGCAGCCTCACCTACGACCCCTCCTACGCCGACTTCACCCCCGACTACTATGAGTGGCCTTCGGGCGGCCAGTAGGTGCGGTCGTGCCATGCGTGCCATGCGTAAACAATCAACGCTTGACTTTTTCGCTGGGAATGTCCGAGGACATTTCTCCCACCTATTGTTTATTTTTTATCGTTTCGATCCATCCCGTTAATGTCAGTTACTGTGTGTGTGTTTGTGTATGCCTTTGCGCTGCACACTTCGTACTTGAGCTTCGTAAATAGTTTGGTCTTCTTATGGACCTGTTTCTTCTCTGCCTATCTTTCAGATGTGGGTTTTATCGACTTTTTGGGGGTTTGATTGATTTTTTCCGTGGTTGGATCTGGCCCAATTGCGCTTCCCTGCTACCCGCGATGATGAAGGAGGCCAGGGAGTATGTGGACACAACCGTTTACTTCAGACCTCAACCAAGTTGGTGTCGTGGGTGGCATTTATGCGTGTGCATTCACACCTTAGATGTATGAGCCATAGATGCGCTAACATCTACGCCTAGGATTCACAATAGGATTACATGGACTTGGCGATTATACCTTGCGTTCATGTACAGACATTAAACAAGTTGAACACAGCTTGACGCGTTACCTGAACCTTCATACTTTGAACGTTGCGTATTAATGTGACGAGATTTTATTGCACAACAGATGTTCGAAATGTTAACTGCTGCTTTCAGTACGGGTGCGAACACTTTCGTAGGCTGAGGCAGTTGTTTTTGTCCGTATCGTCTCTCAGGCGATGTTTTAGTGTGTCCAAGATGCGTAAACCTGTTGCATCTGAGATCAAGGGGATTCGCACGCTGTTCCACATTTGCCCAGAAAATGCCAAGCCAGATGCACGAATCAGTAAGCTGAGACACTAGAAGCTACAACATTTTAATGGACTTGCTGGGTGTGCTTCAGACGTCAAAATATAATCAAAGTATAAAATGTGTACTTAATTTGTGCAGATATTTCAGCAAATTCATTTAAACATTAAAATCAAGAACAACAAACTTAATTTGGAAATATTGTCAATCGTTTTCTATGACCCTTCGCCGTCTCCCAGATAACGTACGAATGTCGTCAAGATTGAAAATTGCAGGCTTCGAGGTAATGAAGTCGTCGACGAATTCACGCACATCGTCCAGCGTTTTGAACTATTTATCCACTAAGGAATGCTGCAGTTGCCGCTGCATTGGCCGGGACAAACGCCAGTGAGGTGGGGCCACGTCTGGTGAAAATGCCGCGTGTGGGAGAACCTGCCATCCTAAGTTCAAGAGGGTCTTCTGAGTCGCGCGAGCAACTTGAGGTAGCAGAATGACTTGCCTGCTTCCTTGCCCAGTAAATGGCCTTGCTCTGATCAAGCTCTTTGCTCAGTCTGTTCAACTGTCAACTGCAACATTCTGTAGTCAGCAGTTTGTAATAAAGTACACCCTTCAAGTTCCACCACCAGATACACAGGAGAACCCTCTTTTAGTGGATGTGGTGTTTCGGCATCGATGTCGTGGTTTTCCCGAGAACTACTCATGGTTCTGCGTTTTACGCTTGAAATTCTCGTAAAAAAGAATACATTTCATCACCCGTTGCAATTTTCCACATAAAATCCACTTAATGTTGCCGGTGGGCAAGCAGTGAAAGGCATGTGTTCATGCGTTAACCTAGGTTGTGTTCGGTCAACACATGTTGGGGGAACCGACCTCCGTGTTTTTGAAAATTTCCCATTTGGTGGTGCTTGCAAATAGCTGTTTCGGTGTAGATGTATGCGTAGGTCAGCAGGATCACTTTTCTTGTATTTACTGTATCTGGCACACCTGGTTTAATTGCTTTTATTAGTGCTACCAGCTGGTTCAAAGTTTTGCCCCAATCCTGATCGTGGAGGTGTATCCAATGACTCGTTCCTCTGGCCCGTTCAATAATATCAAATCTAGCGAATTAAGCACTTCCTTTGATCTTTAAAATGCGTTAGGTCTAAACTGCACGAACCGATAATTCCGACAAGAAGCTTATGAAGATGTTGCCATGCGCATTGAAATCTAAGAGAGATTCGCAGACAACGTCTCCACCCCAGTCATTTGTCGTAACTTTGTGTAATAAACCTGCATGCCACTTATTCAGCATTTCCAGCACTCGCATACACCTGAGTGTAAACAATAACAAAATGCTCGTTCGTCTGTGTATAAATATAACTGGTGTTCAAATTGTCCATTTGGAAAGAGTTACGCACCGTTCAATTAAGGCTTTTGGATTGCAATATGGAAAGCCCTAGCTTTATTTTTGGATATTAACAATCGATCATCATCGCTAAGTATTCGTCCGTTAAATTGGAAAGACCTAATGTTTTGCATTTTGTACTTTTTTTTTAAATTAAAAGGCGTGGAGCGGCGTTAAACGAAAAAAACTAAGCAAACGCTTCCAGTAACTGGTTAAGAGGGATTAAAATTTGGATGAAGCAAGAACATTTCTTGAATTAAAGCCACTTTTTGCTCACACTCTTATTCCAGGGGACTCAAGTTGTAGATGCTATGACACTGTCCTCTCCTACGTTCGATCAAATTGGACTAATTACCAACATCTAATCGGAGATTTCCGTGTTTGTGCGTTCCCCTAAATTACTGGTAGGTGATTGGATGTGTATTTTGTGGTGTTCCGAGTGCATCAGTTATCTTCTTCGACACAATAAATGACCGTTAATTGACCTGATTCAAAATCAATTAATTTATTTTTCACGCCTATAAGCGAACTCTATTGGACTAACCGGATTGCCTCGGCTCTAGTGGGGATTTCCGATGAAAATATCCCACGACGTATTGAGGAATCAGAAATTAACGTCTAGGGGGAGGATTTTTATTCGAAGAGGGCATGCTTAACCATCCGTTTTACAAAATTTTCCTGCAATTCCAGGGTTAGGTGATGTAACTAAACCACATTATTTGAGTGCCTCAAAATTCGCCAGCAAAACGCCGCAAATCTGAAACCTTATGGATCCATAGATGTTGAAATTTTGGCAACCAGGTCAAATTGTGATCAGTAAAATTATGCTTCAGAAGGTGCTTTTGAACTGAATTTAGCCTTGGCTCTTTTCTAAAATCTGGTCTCTGTACGGGGTGCCAAATTTCGCGCGCATAATCACACCACCTATAATTCACTGGATCATTATTCTGCCTTTCTTAAATAAACAAACACTTTAAAACACCACCTACTTAGTCCTGACCTTCACCACGATTACCTACATCGTTGAACACTTGGAAAGTTTGTCTAGTTTGAATTTGATCTTGCATAAAATCTTCAGTGTGTTAAATACACGCAGTTAGCTTTCATGTCACGGTATCTCGGAGCTGTCTGTACAACGTGGACGAAGCCATGTCAGTAGGAACGTTCGCAGCCACCCACCAACGAATGAAAAATCGTGCGCTCTAGCTGAACAGTCGCTATTATTGGAGGGTTGAAGTAGCAGTCAGGGTCTCATTTACAAAATACATGACGCGGACAAACGCACCAATCCAATAATGAAGTATGTCGAAAAGTAAGGGGACGTAGAGTAGGTGAAAGCGGACAAAATGTACTTTCCTGGTATGGAATCTCGACTCTGGACAAGGGGGTTTTTCGTGGTCACTGAGGAGGAGGTGGCAGAATCGGCGGGAAAAGGGGAGTTGGGAATATCTGAGGGGTCGTTCGAAAGACTGCAGGAGGCCTGTGATGGTGGGAGCGGTTGTGGAAGGGGACTTCGATGGCGGGATTCGGCCTCTACAGGTAATGAATCCACGAACCATCTCCAGCTATATCGGTGGCCTTTGCATAACAGTGGATTTGGTAGTTCTCGCCATGGTTGTTGTCCCAGTAAATATCTCCAGAGTGCGTCTCATAACGCACGGCGAACTGAGCACGCTCGTTTGCCACCATGGTGGATGGGAAGACTGCAGAGAACGAGAAGCGATCGGTCGAGCCGTCGTGTGAGTCCTGGACGTACGACGCTGGGACCTCAAAGTAGGTGGCCCAGTTGTTGTAAGTTATCCGAAGCGCAACCTTCTTCTCGAAGCCCACACTTTTAACTCTGATCGTTCCAGTTAGCAAACCCCTGGAGGAATCCACCCTGGCGTTCTCAAGACAGACAAATGAATTCAGCACTCTGTGCATGAAGTTAGCTGATGCGCCGGGTTGGGGAAAGCAAATCTGGAACTGTTTGGCACCGAGCGTACTGAAGGACTTCTCTGTGTCCAGGTTCAAGTCAAGGGTTGCTGAAGCCGGAATGAGAGGCGGATTGTCTGCGTCCTTGACCTGTCTCACCGTAGCTAGATCAAGTCCCAAGGAATCCGCAAACCTAACAATCTTCCGACAGGGCGTTTCATCTGGAGACCGTTCCGACTTGAGAGAACTACTCCGTGACGACCGTATCTTACAGCTGCTGTGAGACGTGCAAGTACTTCGTATTCTACCTAGACTAGCTGTCTGCAAACCATCATAGGAAACGTCCGCTGGACATGGAAGGTTTAGGTAGAAGGAGTCTTCCTCGGCCCTTGACGATCGGTCGATGAGATTTAAGAATGGAGGTATGTGCTTCTTTTCCTTGTCAAATGAATCAGAAACTTCCATGACAGCATCTGAAATCACTGAGTCAATAAAGGTACTTGTATCCGAAACATCCGTCACCTGTTTATCACGAGGTGGCGTCACCTCGTCTCCAGTACTTTCAGGAAGAGGGGGCGGAAGTTGCCACGCATAAAGTTGATTAGCTCCATGCGGCTTTCGAGTCACTTCTGAATCTGAGAGGTTCCTGGGTATGGTTGAGGCTATTAGGGAATCTGCCCGTGTGTTGTACTCAGCTGTTGTGATGTCACCGTTCCGCAGTTTCGAGTGGAGCCTACCAAGGACAGTCACTGGATGGATGTTCCCTGAATTGTTTGGAATCTCTAGAGATGAGCACAAACTCTCGCCAGGAAAATCATTTTCTAAGCCAAATTCCCCCTCATCTTCTTCAAAGACAGTTGGGAAATCAAAGAAATTCGACTTTTCAACAACTAGGAGCAGCTCCGGGAAGTGTGCCTGTGGTTTTAGACTTGCCAACATAATGGGCTGGGCGAAAGCAACGGCATTTGAGAAACGACTTACGTTCGATTGTTCAACAGGCTCCAGATGCATTTCCGCAATTGGCTCAGTGGCGTCGGTGTCATCCAGAGTGGTGTAGAAGTTTTCCAGACGGTGAGATGACTCCCTGAGCAGAGTGCAAACTGCGGCTTCAACCACAGGTTTGTCCACAACTTCTTCGCACCTTTGAACTCCGACATCTTTCGTAGGCTGAGCGGTTTTGAGTAATTCCAAGGGCTCCTGATCGAAAACTGTCGCAACTGTGGGGTTGAAGACATATGCAGAATCAAGCAGATCAACGCAAACCTCAATGTCATCTTCGCCTTTCACGGAACAAGAATCACCGTAGGAAGACTTGCCTTTCGAATGCGATGAACAATCACAGGCCTCAGCTAAAGTAGTGGTGAAAAGAAATTTGACACGAGCCCAAAATGAGACGAAGAATTGGATGAAAGGCGACTTGGAACGGTTTTGACTGCAGTCGGTGACTTCGTTGCTGTTGTTGGCGGCAATACCGATATCATCTGTGGTCTGAGTTTTGTGCATTTAGTTGTATGGACGAGACGAGGTGTTGAGAAAGACCTGCGAATCTGGACTAACGTGTGCACGCGTGAGTGTCCGATATGGGCTTTTAGGCCCTACATAGCGTTTCAGGGCGAGATGCGCCAAGGAGCCAGGAAAAAGTATGTTCTTCGTCAACGGAAGTGTCAAATTAAGTTGCTCGCGCTTATCTTTATAATCCTAGCGGCTACGTGACTGCTGGGACCGTCCCAGCTGAATGGATTGGCCCGGCATTCGCTGCCGGGTGACCGTGCGAACAACTTGGTTAACCAATAAAAACGCAGCGTTCACCTCATTGGTCAGTGCTAGCCAACAGGCATGCAAAACCAAATCTCAGACGACGAAAACAGCAGCAAACTGAAAATTGACCTCAAGTACATTCATTGCAAATTTGTAAAACACAATCCAGTGTGAATAAATTAAAGTAACCGTTAAGACTAAAATTACGTTGGATTTTAATGTCCTGTTTCTAATAGAAAAATTCTAGCCCAATTCGCCGTAACTGTCGATGAACATGTACTTGCATCACCTCAATTGGTGCATTAAAGATGTTTGCCCGACTACAGGGGACCAAGCGTGTACTCGATCAATACTTTCCCTCGCATGTCTCTTAAGTGCCTTGACGCTTTAGGATACTTGGAATATGGGTTTTGAAGTGGAATGGTTACCTTCGCCCTTTTTAAAGAAAATTACCTGTTGAACGACTTTCCACACTTAATCTCGTCCTCTAATTTGCGAAAATGCACTCTAAGCATTGAATTTAGTTCGAATACCATCTCGTTTGTGGCTTGACAGTGAATTTTTACAGGTCGGAACAGCAAAGAAATCTTACTGCAACGTAGTCAGGTTGTCCAAATTGGGGAAAAAATCACGACGGTTTTCATTCTGCCAGAGCAGCCAAACATTTGAACCTCAACACACCAAACTTCATACTTTTCAGGGTTACCAGAAAAAGGCGAAACTCGGATTATGCTAGTGCACAATTTAAGCAACTACTTCTGTGAGTAATTATCACAGACACTGAATCTTACCCAAATCGAGACTTGGCTCCTCTTTAGTTACTTATTTCAGCAACCAGCTCGTGTACATATTTACAATGAATTTTTTCGTTTGTTTTACATAGCAGTAACCAATTAAGTTAGATACTAAAATGACGATGTCGCCATCCGTGGAGATTCGTGCTTGAGGAATGTGGGTGTGGGCGAAAGGCGTCTGTCAGCTAGGTTTATCAAAGATGTGTTACCGTTATGGTTTTCAACTCCGAATTCAACACCTGCACGATCACACCCACAAACTCTGCGACCTTGGGCGGCGCTATCGACGTTAAGAAACCCTGTCCATCTTCATCGATTGTGCATCAAAAGTTCACCCATTTTAATTTCTACAGTACGCAATACATTCCCGCGTCACATCGGTATTCATTTGATGACATATTCGTGCGCTGGATTCACAGAGGTATTTTAGAGGTCAAAATGGAAGGTCATCTGTTCTGTTTGTTAAATTATGGCCAAACAGCGTGTACCCGTCAGTATTTTATGTGGTTTGCCGTAATTTAGTGACACTGAGGACCATAAAATACGAGTCAATTTCTCCGCTAAAGCTTTTTTTTTTTCAATCATGCATTATTACAAGGTATTCGCATCCCGCCTCTGCTCGACACAATGTAGGCTGCGAAACCAATTTCAGGTCATCGTAGAGGTCAACTCTGCGTAAGCGCTCAGGTATAACTTAGTTTCTCAATAAGTTTGTTGTCTACCACGGAAAGCCAGTTGTTAAACCTGGAGACTAAGAAGGTAATTTGTCAAAAATTGCAGATGAATTTTCCCTTAGGAAATCAAGGTCATTTCTGTCTTATATTGAAGTGACTTCTATCCATTTCAAAATGCTGTACAAGCGAAGGACAAACTCGCTTTAGCCTGCCGAACAAGAAGGGGAATTCCGTGAATTTAAGTAGTGTGACGTATATTTTTTTTAAAATTAGGCACAATCATATGATCGAGTTAAATGCCTGGAACAGTGCGTTTCCCCTACAGAGGGTGTGGCACTGACAAAGCCTTATCTGGCGTACCAACTACGGGGACGAAGTCTTTGCTGGCGCAACTGCGAAAACGGCCTCGCCAGCATCACGTGTTTATCAGAGCAGCGAAAAAAGCCACTTCCGTTTCTGTGGGGCGTTGCAAAACAGACCTGCAAGGGCACAACACACAGGGGGAGGCAATTGGGGCGCAAGACGATCGTAAAATCCGCCGCTTAGTAGGATAAAGTCAGTCGATGTTGGCACATCGAAATCACAGTTAGAAACACGGACATTGGTAGAGGACTGACTGCACAAACCATAGCCTGTTTGAAGTGAATAGGATTAGAATTTTTGAAAGAACCGAGATGGGTAGGGCTAAATACAAATAAACAACAAGTACCAGCGTTAAATTACCGCGTGCGCCTGCTCCGTTATTCACATTTTAGTGGTGAGGTGATTCCACTGAAAACCGCTCTTTGGAGAAGACAGAATCAATCACCTAGAACTTCACAATGTACTTTATCATGCAGTTTACGTCGAAGACACGAGCACTGGTTTCTAAATAGATAAAGGGTGTGCTGTGGGCCCCCGCATGTGGTCTTGAACCACTCCGGGGCCACCGAATTAACCCTGGCCCGATTGCGCTACCCTGATACCCGCAATGAAGAAAAAGACTGGAGAGGACGTGGACACAACCGTTTACTTCAGAGCTCAACTACGTTTTGTGTCGTTGTGTCGTGTGTGGGCTTTACCCGTGTGTATTTATACCTCAGATGCGTGAGTCATAGATGCGCTAGCATCGAGACCTAGGTGTGAGAATAATCCAAAATAAATATTCGTGTAAATTCGAGAGGAGTTGAGGATCCGGGCGGCTGGCGAAATGCTGCGAAAAGGGGAGCCCTATGTTAGAGGCTGGAGCGACCGGATTAAGGAGCGTGAATAAACACGATTCACATCAGATGTTTTGAAGGTCTCCATTATCATTTATCCAATCACATCTGAGATGCACATTGGTAACTCTTAGTCTCAGTGCCGCAACAGTCCCTGCTGCCTTGTACCACTCGATAAATCGTTGTGGTAAAGTTTATGGCGTCTGAGACAATTCAATCACCCTATCGCAACAGCTCTGGACGTTGAGGCTGCATTTTTTGGTTTCCGAATTCAAGATATACAAGCTTTCGTTTCTTCCGGGGTGAAAATCTTGTCCTTTTTTGGAGTCTTGATCTACAAACTTTACCGTGGTTTTTCGGAGTTGTGGATGTTTTGTAATTTTTTTAAACATCGCACATATCTAACTTCGAGATTAACGTGGATAGTCCAAGCGGCACAGATGGCGGGGGTAGGGAAGGTAAGCGAAAGCGTTCAATTGGTGCATGCAAAGAGAACGCCGCAGTGCACTTGTTGAAGCTCACTTGGCAGGTGGACTGTTTTGCCCCAACGACGACGCCTAGGGCACATTTCCGAAAATGTGTGGAGGGGTATTGTGACTTCCATTTAACGCACTCAACTGATCGCCAGAACTCAGTTAGTAGCATGGTGTTTGGGTTGGACAGATAATTCATTTGGCAAATGGTCAAGCTAGCAAATTATCTCAGTCGACTGCAGGTACTGAGTAAGAGTAAGGATCGCATTGATTACAGGCTAAGCTGTCAGTTGAAGCTGATAACAAAACACATCTCTTCGCGATTGCTAGCTATTGCAATCATGCATAACGTAGTAAATGCTCGAAATTGTGCTTCTCTCTAAGGCACTTTCACTGCGATTTCATGGAAAAACACGGCTTTTGCTAGGATCCTGTTGATCCCAGATTGTTAATTAATATGCACGATTTTTAATGCACCAGAGGTAGAGGTCGGACGAGATCATTAAGGTCATGCTAATGTGACATTTATCAAAGCACACGACCTGTTCCAACATGATCACACCATCTGGGTGTGCCTAGCGATCAATACAGGCCATTTCCTGGAGTTGTTCCAGATTCTGTGGCATTCTGACTTTCACCAGAATTGCCGCTGCAGCAGGATCTGGTTGGATGGATAGATCGGTGGGCTTGAAGTGACGGCTGCATCTAACACCACCATTTCCAATGCTTCGATCATTGGGGGAAATGGAGGCCTGTCCCAACATTGACAAGTGAATAACATCCACGAGTCATGTCTAAAAGGTCTAATTGGCGATTTGGGATAGGTGACTGTTAGACTTGATCCAATGATGCTTATTACGCCAACAGTAGACAAGATATTCACGTGTCTGATATTTGAAACACAGGAATTTGGGCAACCACTGTGTTAAAGGAGAAGCAAGGGGAGATGATAGTGATAGCCTTCGACAATGGACCACTCTAGTAACTACTCCAAATTCACTTTCTATAGATTTAAATGCCCTTATCCGAGCTCATCTTTTCAGCAAATACACATTGTGAGTTGCAAGCACCCACTTCCCAGCGGTTTAATCACACAATCGATTACCGGTCACCAGACAAAACCAAGTCCTCAAAGTCACCAAGCACGTAAACTTAAAGTCTTATCACGTTCATGACATAGCGTATTAGGCAACCCGATTTTGGAAGGCTAGGAAGGTGGCTATTCGTTCATAGATCTGATTCGGCACTTCTGGCTCAGACTTTTGCTACTTATGGTGCTGGGGAACATGCCAGAGGTTGTCTAAGGAGTAATGGCCAAATGCACAAAAGCAGCAATGATTTTAGGCTCGAAATAACTCGCAAAATCAGCACTTAAGATTTAACTAGAGATTGCGATGAGTTGTAGCGTCTCACGATCATGAAAGAACAAAAGATTGGTGGCTTATTCCAAGCTCCTAAAACGCCGACTTTCTTAATCCGGAACTAAATTCCTCCTCCTTCTCCTCCTCGCGATAAATACCCACCAAAAATACCAACTTCACACAACTGCAAAGCTACCATATTTTAAAGCGCCCAATAGGTTGGTTTAGAAAACTAAAATCAAGTGGGAAATAATGGTCGTGCGAATCTAAACAGAACTAAGCTGAATGGAAAGCAGGGAAATTGTACAAGGAGAACTATAGTTGGAGTACGTTTCCATGGCGATTTCACAAGGAAGGGAGAACGTCTTCGAGGGAAGGGTTCTGTTTCAAGACGGTGGCGGTGGAGGAGAAATGCTTTCTGGGGAATCGGGGTCTACTTCGTTGTGCGTCTGTAGTCGACGCAAGTCGTAGCCGGGCATGGTTGCGAGCATTCGCGCGGCCTCCGTCAAAGTGGCCTAGAGGTGCGATGGAAATAAAGGCGTTATTAGCGATTTCGCCGACTTCTGACCAACAGTAAATAGAGCAGCGTTAACAATGATGATGGTGATGACGATGCAACCAAGAACGATGGCGTCAACGGTTCAAATGGTAAACATCTGTTTGCTTCAGAATATTTCTCATATACCTTAACGGGCAGGAATGTGGTTGGTTTTTGAAATCGACTCAAATACTGTCCAGATGATCTGAACTACGGTCAAGTAAGTGAACTCTCAGCCCTGTCAGTGTCTAAATATCCACGATAACCCCTAGCTTTCTGTGTGTGGATGAACATGGCAGTGTCTGCTAGTCTGACCATCCACAAAAGTAGTCACTTTTTGTGACCGTAATAAAAACCAGAAGGTCAAATTATTTGCGTGCGCAACCAATAAAACAATGTGCTTCCCCATTCACTGCTAACTACATTCACATGCAAACAATTTGGTCTGAAATTGATTAGTCAAGTCAAAATTCCCGACAACTCCAATTGCTTTCATGTGGTGACAATACTTTCCTTGGTTGCAAATAAGCACATTCTAATATATTTTACCCTTTTACTAGACGCAAGCTTATATATCCCGTCCTTTAACTAGTTTTTGCAAATTCTTTTATGCATAGAAAGAACTGCCTAATGGGTTTCTACATTGCCAAGAAAAATGTTTAATTAAAAAATGCAACAAAGACTGAATTCAGTTATTCTAAATCAAGAGAATCTATGTACAAGATTAAAAATATCCTGTCTAGATGATTTCTATACATAAATAGGATTTCCGCAAAGCTAGCTCATGCATTTTGTACATTTAAGATGGCCCCGTCCACATTCATGACAGCAACTGCATCTCTGATCCATCTGTTTTCGGAGCAAACGAGAGTGCTCCGAATTATTATTAAACAGTTGCGGACAATGCTGTTGGGGAATTAAGCATCCCCGGGATTTTCATAATTTTATACTTTTCATTATCATTCGTGTTTATGCACACCAACTTAGTATTCATATTCCCCTCCTTCTTCCTATTGGTCAATTCGCTATTGAGGGCACCATTTTCCTCAACCGCACACAAGGCCGCCCACAACATATGCATAAGCGCGCCTTGGGCTGAGGCGGTGAAAAATTCTCTGAACGAGGTTGTGTCTTGCGTTAGTCTGGTGAAGCGCTGACTCGTACGTGTTTTGCTTGAGTGCTAGTGTGGGAAAGCCGATAGCATGCTGACGAGAGAGTCGATTAACTGGACTTGGGATTGTGCATCTGTGTACCAGAAACCACAAAACATACTGTTTAAAAAAGATAAAAAGTGGGAACAAACCAACCTGTGCGGAGGAAGTTCTTTTGAGGGCCCACGAGTCCTCCTCGTGGCTGCCTGATTTCATTATGCCCTTGCCAGCAGCTAGAAATAAAACGTGGTGGAAATTAGGCGGGCACATCCATCGACTGAACAGGTCAGTAATTTGTAAGAAAACGGCAGCCTCCATCATTACGAAACAGGGAGCTACAGGGATATGCGATTGCGTTTAACCGGCACTGAACGTCGGTGGTTATAAGCGCAGGTGATGGTGGAGTGAAAAATAGGTTTGCATCGAAACGCCGTCCTGTATCCTAGACGTGGGATTAGAAAAACTGGTATTTTCTTGTCCACTAATCCCGTCTGGTTTGCCTAGACACACCACGGTGCTCGTTCGCAGAACAGGCGTCTTGTGTTGTTTGCGTTGGTGGCAAAATAGCACTATTTTAATGACAATCAAAGCTATTTGCCGTTGGAAAGTCTTGGATGAACTAATAGGGATTTTAACAAGACAGCAACCTCTGCTGCAACGGTTAACCGCACCTTTTTGCCCGAAATATTAGCCATACGAAAACTTGAGCGATTAAGCTAGTCGCTCCTTGAAGAGATGAATTCAAACAAGCCCGGCTGGAAATTACGGACTGACAAAAGCTCTTAGTTTACTGTTTGAGCAATGTCAAGGGCTACCAGATACCACGCAGCTCAAGTGAGGCCACATGGCTGAGAACACAGTATTTAAAAATCTTGACAATGGTGCAAAAGGCTGGCTGTAAAGGTTGCAGAACACAACGTCCAAGTAATTAGTGATGTTAATTTAACTAAAGGGAATCACGTGCTCACGAAAGTGTTTACAAAACAGGTTCCCTCGAAATTTCGTCACTGACCTAATCGCTCATGCACTGCGGCCACGAAATCACGCTCTTTAGTCTGATGTGATCGTGCGAAATTGGAGAAGCAAGTTAAAGACCGACAAAATTGGTGATTGATTGTGGTTGCCAATACTGAAATCGTGTCGACAACACGACTGTTGACCCACAAAGTGCTAGAGAAAGGAGAACATAGAAAAAAACTTACTTCCAGCTGGCGCGGCGCTGCCAAACGTTCCAGATCGACGCCGACCGTTGGCGGGACCGTCGATGGAGTCGGAGAGGACAGAGGCGGTGGCTCTTGAAACCGGCGCAGAGGCTTCCAGGAGGGACTGGAGCCACTCAACAGCGGGTCCCCACAGCTCGGGAAAGTGCGAGAGGCCGTCCACGACGGCGCTGTTTTCGAGCGCCAGTTCGACGAGGAATTTCATGCATTGGTAGGCCCGCCGAGAGTCGAGGCTGCTGCAGTCGCTTGTGATTAGCACTGTCAAGGAGAGCATGCAATAAGACGTATCTTTGGCGTTATTGCATGACCTCCGTAAGTATGAACTTCACGGATAAGTTGTCTTACCGTGGAACCTACGACCCATAAATAGAGTAGGCACCAGATATTGGTGAGCGTCTCATTTAAAAAGCACATGAAAAACACGGGGAAAGATCAGTTGGTTTTGTGTTGAGACAATGCTGCATCGAACGGCTCCACTTCAGGAAGCAGAAAAAAAGACGGACTACAAATCAATAGATTTAGTTTAACTGTTACGACAGACTAAAATCGTGACAGTCTTTCCTGGCCAGTGGTACGCCCGCATGTCATAATTTTTTTTCGCTACATCACCTATTATATTGATGAATGGTGTTTATAACAGTCTGTGTTTAGCTAGACGCCCTACATGCGTGATTCACGTGAGCCTGTGCGGAAGGTTGCGCGTAAATCACTGAGTTTCATCTCTCCTTTTGTTCTCCCTTATCCCACACATGTTGTTATGCTCAGTCTGAGCACCCACATGCCAAACAGCTCAGGGATTTGTTGATCACTGAGCGGGTGTAGGTGCTACGGATAACGCACGTCTTCTGCGTAGTCATTTCTCTCTCCTCGGCACAAAACTGACCAGCGGTCATGCTACGAGGTCGTTAAAGCAGGCTAAAGCACCATAAAGGCCGCGACTCAAGAATGGACTCATCGCGGCACCCATGAGAAGTTGAAATACTAATGACACGTCAGCACCGACTTTGTCAGTTGACGCAAAAACAGACGACAGTTTTAGCCACAGTCAGTGGACACGAGAGACTCGAGTAAATGACTTGGTGCTACAGTGATGTCACAGTGGCTATCTACAGATGCCAAATACACTTTAGTTTGACGTCTCCAGAGGAATATGCTACAAAAACGTAACATTTTGTTACTAGTCGGTGTGTTTATCAAACTGAAATGCCATGCAGGCCAGTATTGCGTCCGGGAAGAGGCAACAAAGTAGGCTTGTGAGCTGGATTTCAAGAATGGAACAGAATTTGTCGATAGAAGAGATGCCGAAACGCCAAACCTACCTAGAAGTCCTCGCTGAGCGAAATCAGGTGGGTTTGGATAGCGTGAAGTCGCCTCAATGTCGTCGCCAGCGTCGCCGCAATCTCCAAATATATTCCCGTCCACCATCTTCCCCTCCTGAAAGTCCGGTCGCAGACGCCAGACGGGACCCCTGAGACCGCAGAGCACGGCTAGCACTCGGGCCGACTGCAACTCATCCCTGATGCGAAGGAGCTGTTTCACGAGGTCGAAGTAATGCCGCAGCTCCACCGGTGGTCGCGTGACTATCAGCGAAAGGATCTAGACGATTTGCACAAAACAAGAACAAACTATCACGGAACTTGCAGTGGGCGCTCATCAATGCCTGCTCAAACAGATTTGTTTGGTTTCATTCGCGGTCCGAAATTCATGGATGAAATGAGAAACTCGTACGTCAAGTTGACTAATCTCCCTGACACCAATATGCCAACCCCAAACTTTAAAACAGGAAAAAACAAGTCGTGAAAAACAGGACTAATTGTTTAGGTTGCTGAATGAGAAGAAGAATCGAATGAAATTCCTCAAGTGCCGTAATTGTGCGAGCTTGTTTGCGCTTGTGCTTGATGGATTACGTTCTAATGAAAGCGAATACATTCCTATTGCTGTTTGTTACCTGTCACAATCCGTTGAAAATAAAGTTAGTTGGGTTTGTTGTTGATCCAAAGAGTTGATAAGTGTTAAGTGCTGAGTCTCGATTCTTTGAAATAGGAAAGAAATTTGACACATTATTAGCTTTGAAGTGGTAGTGACTTCGGGAGTACCAAGCATCGAAGAAGCTCCATCAGTAATCAGAAACCTGCTCATCATTCAACATGTAGGTAGACAGAATATGTGCATTGAATTGTAAGGGAAAAGGCATGGCTGGCTACTTTGAAAAAAAAAGCATTAGCCATCCTCATGGATCGTTGAATCGTCATAAAGTTGCAACCCCATCGTCTCCCCAATTCGTTTAACCCCTTGGTAACTGGAGTCTTCCAGGTGGATGAGAAGATATATATAATCTAAGAACATAAGGAATCCTAACAAAACGTCCCAATTCTGTGTTAACCAATTTGCTAAGAAATTTGATTTAAGCGAGCACATATATGTAATAATCCAACAGGTTCTTGGTACGGTGTGTCACTTGCTGTTATGTTGTCTGATTGGTTGAAAAATGACGGCAATCGATTTAACTTCGAGATGGTATTCTTCACAATTCCGAAGACGAATTTCAACAATACGTTGGGAATTTAGTCGTAAGGTTACCGTACGGCTGGAGTTAGCAGAACTTTGAAATGAGTTTTCAATTTGTTAGTAAATGCAAATGAAGATCAAAAAGATTAGTACAATTTTTCAAAATTTTTCTGATCTATTAGCAGAGGGCGACAAGTAATAGGCAGGCACTGAGAGCAAGTCCAATTAAGGGAGGCTTGTGTTTACTTTAAATGGATTAATTTTCTTAGGATCTAGCCCGCCAAATATAAATCTCAATTTCCATTCTTGAATTTTCGAGTTTTGCTGGGCTAATTAAAGCAAAGTCAAGAATTGCCCCTGCAAAGGAAACTATGTGACGGTAAGGAGTAAAGCCGTCATCGATATTTTTTTCAAACTTTGAGATTCCTCGCAAGTTTATACTGTAAATGTTAAGGCAGAAACGTGAATGAATGCTGACAATGTGAGAAACGATTAATTCCACCTCTGCAAGGCAACAAAATTTACCGTCCGCAAGTGAAATGAAGTCCACTTTTTAAGGGTTAAAAGGTACGTGCAAAGGTCGCGTGTGGATTTACTCAAAATTGCTAAAAGAGCGAGTTTTTTGACGGTGAATTGCTCACCAATCAGTTGCTAAAACAACAGCAATGCCAAAACACGGCAATGTCCTGTTTTGAGGTTGACTCTAGGACACCAGAAAGGAGGATTATGGAGTTGAGATATCGATTACAAGGCTTTGAATCGACGAGCTGTAATTCTTGACTAAAGCTATTATAAATTATCACACACAAGAAACGACTGCATTTCAGTAGCCGGTTGAAAGTTAGGGCGAAATATCCTCGCCGAAAACAGACTTGAGCCCGATGCCAAATAAGGATCTGCAAAGCAGCCAGCAACAGTTTGGGACTAGCAGCCCTGCTCGGTGTTATTTTGTGCTCTTCAACAGCAATGGACAACTTGCAGGCATGCGAACGCACCACCTCTGAGACGTCGACCGTCTCGATGACCTGGGATTGCGCATTAGGAGGGTTCGAACACGGATTTAGACCCTATCAAATTAGCAATAAGTCCGGTGCTTGTGGACATTCGCCAGAGGAGTGACACGATCCCAATTTAACCGACGTAGTGAGCAAACCATGACACCAGGGTTAAAAATAAATTGTGTACCGTGAACTTGCGACCCGTGTTTGCTGAAGATCATGATAATTCGAGCATGTTGCGGCACAAATCGTTTTCGTGTAAAAAGCGCTTTTGCAAATCCGGTCAAAAGTTCATTATGGTTCGACTAATGTTGACCTTGAACGCGTGCTTTAAACGAAACCAACACAACTAACTTTTCATTCAAATTTATCTGACACAATAAATGATCATCGTCCTGCCTACGTGGACCAAGCAAACACGGGGCCTTCCGATACGGAAAAACGTATTAAATTTCAACTAACAGAGTGGATAACTGCCAGTCCAATGATTGGCCAGAGCACGGAAGGCAAAAGTACAGACAATAAATCGCACAATTTATTTCGTTTCTTGTGAGATTAGGCAAACTGTGTGCACTTTAGTTGCCTCGGGAGAAGTGCCTAAAAAGTACTGATCTGGGCGTTTGTTAGTCCCTTGCCAATGCCCTGTTCAAACAACTAACGGTCAAGTACGGGGCGCGTTTTTCAAAAATGATGCTAGGTGCGTAACGTAGTTTTTGCAGATTTAAAATAGAAATGTTTCGCGGTTTTTTGTGGTTCTGAATGGGTTGGACGCAAGGTTTCAGAGCGTTGAACAACAAATCTACAGGAGTTACGTAATCTCTCCGAATAGCAGAGTTTATGATGGTAATTAATCAACGGCACATTCAACACGGCATTTTTTATCAATACCATCAAGGAATACATTGGAATCACATTTTAGTGTTCTTGCTGACGACGGGGTGTCATTGAAGCGTGTAATTATTAGTACAAGCCTCTTAGAAGTGGTGATTTCCATCTTAGCGACAAGCCAAACCCCGGACGGCAGTCTCGAATGTTTAAAGACTCGGCATCACAAGCTTTACAGCGCTGAGACTCAACGCATACGCCACAAGACCTCGCAAATTCCAGTTAGGAAACACCCAAACAGCTATTTGCAAGCACCACCAAATGGGAAATTTTCAAAAACACGGAGGTCGGTTCCCCCAACATGTGTTGACCGAACACAACCGAGGTTAACGCATGGACACATATTTTACAATGCTTGCCCACCGGCAACATTAAGTGAATTTTATGTGGAAAACCGCAACGGGTGATGAAATGTATCCTTTTTACGAGAATTCTAAACGAAAAACGCAGAATCACGAGTAGTTCTAGGGCAAGCCACCACATCCACTAAAAGAGGGTTCTCCTGTGTATCTGGTGGTGGAACTTGAAGGGTGCACTTTATTACAAACTGCTGACTACAGAATGTTACAGCCGACAGTTGAACAGACTGAGCAAAGAGCTTGATCAGAGCAGGGCCATTTACTGGGCGAGGAAGCAGGCAAGTCATTCTGCTACCTCAAGTTGCTCGCGCGACTCAGAAGACCCTCTTGAACTTAGGATGGCAGGTTCTCCCACACACGGCATTTCCACCAGACGTGGCCCCACCTCACTGGCGTTTGTCCCGGCCAATGCAGCGGCAACAGCAGCATTCCTTAGTGGATAAATAGTTCAAAACGCTGGACGATGTGCGTGAATTCGTCGACGACTTTATTACCTCGTGATGGCATTCGTACATCACCTTAGAGATGGCGCAGGGTCATAGAAAACTGTTGACAATATTTCCAAAATTAAGTTTGTTGAGCTCGATTTTTATGTCACATGAATTTGCTGAAATATCTGTGGAAATGAAGTATAAAACCAAGTAGAAGGCACAAAGCCATACCATGGAAATAAACGCAGCCGACGGCACCCACCACGACTGCGTGAGGTGAGTGACCACGTCGACGACGACCTCGCGCAGCGACATCTCGTCAGGCGGGCCAGTCATCGAGGCCCGATGGGTTGACGTGACGCCCTCAGGCTTGCCCGCGTCGGGCCCGCCCGTCTGCTGTTGGCGTTGTGGCGGCGACGGCGTGTGTGGATTCTCCACGTAGACGCGAATCAACGACTCCACCAGCAGGAACACCCCGACATAGCGAAGCTGCGGCGGCAGACTGAGCGCCGAGGCCCGCGACAGGGCGTCGCTGGACGTGGCGAGGTTGGAGAGGCCCAGCCACCTCGCGGTCTCCGGCCGGGGAAAGAGACGCAGGCGTGTGGACGCGTGGATCGCTGTGGCCGGCAGGGCTGTTTGCAAAATAGACAAGGCTGCTTGTCATCAAGGCACTACGACCTCCCAACAGGCAATACAGAACGGTTCGAGCAAGGCAAATGCTGTCTTTGCAAATGTCAACGGGCCTGATTTCTCCAAGTGTTTTTAATTTAGTTGAGCAATCCAGTTTTCTTTCCTTTTCTTTCACGTATTCAAAGAGCTATCAGAAGCACAAGTAAAAAGTTATAGTGCAAACTAAATGGGCGTAAGAATTAAATAACAGTGACTGATGATGATGATGATGGTGGTGGTGCCTTCGTTAAGTAAAACAAGAATTCTGAACATAATGCAAGGTGTTTGCTATCAGATAGCAAGGGGTTTGGCGACGCACATGGCCATTAAACCACCACGGAGAAAGGCTTTATAATGGCCGCTTTGGCAGTGGCATATGAAAACGGTTTACAGCTCAGCTAACAGCCAAACCCATCATCTAAATGCTTGAGCACGCTACGACAGCAACTGCACCGCTCATAAATCGTACATGCTGGATTATTTCTTGAGGAGGATTTCTCTAAACCTACGAGCTACTTACAATTTTTGAGGCAGTTAAAAGTAGTAGATCATGAAAGCAGAACATGTCATAACAGCAGAATAAGAGGATACTTTTAAAAGAGAAATTAGACATAAACGATAATATGTAAGTTTAAACATTAACCATCTTAGTAGATTTTCGGAATATTTCGAATGAATTGTAGCAGAAACAGATTAACTGTTCGGACTAATTATGAGCTCTCTGTCTAACTTATGCGTCTTGTTCCTCGACAATTACTACAGACGTTGTCTTTCATTTGAAGTATACATTCTAGCAGCAGATTATAAAACATCTAGAAAGGGTCGTGTAATGTTGGTGATGACGCACGATGGCCTATTGCGCAGATAATTGCGAATTCGACCCAAAGACTCCTCACGGTAGCGGGTTGCATTGCGTTAGTGTGATTATCCGTGAAAATTAAGGATTTAATCGCAGTTTGGACGTCTGGTTCGTCATCAGGGCGTTGGTTCGACGATCACCTGACTGCTCCGCGGGTCCTACACTTGCACTAGGCACTCATCCCATAAGGAGTGGGTTCTGGACGGAAACATGATGCAGCAGCCTAGTTCACTGCTTGGTCTTGAAGCTGACCGCATCGACAATGACAGTGGGGCTTTTCGACATTGCAGTTGAAGCTAGGCCGCAACGCTGACAAACGGCTTCACATAAATTCCACAGAAAAGGAATTCATTAAGGCCACACCTGCCAGTCCTCTCCATAGGACACTACAAATCCCAGTTGACATTTTACTAGAAATTAAATCGATTGCGTCAATGCAAGTTTTGTGTCCGATTTGACACTAAAATGCAGCACATTTTCATGAAAAGCAGTAATTATTGATTATTTGTCTACATATATCACCTAACGATGTATCGATTTTTTAATACACTCTTTGAAAGAAAGTCGTAAAGTAGCCTTTGACTTCTTCTAGTGTCAGTTGAGCGACATGATGCCCACCGTTGTCATGGTGACAGATGATGTCTTTTCGATTGGCCAGTTTTACAAGTTTGGCGCGGAATTCAACGTTGGATTTAGTGATTTGGTCCCGGCAATTCTCCATAGCTATTGTTTGGACACATTTCTGCTCTTTCTCGGCCACGCTTCCAGCCACTTTTCCTTCTTATCCTGACATAAACAATACACTTTTTAAATCTCCAGTTGTGATTTGATCCAAAAAAGGCTCATTTTGTTGACGGGCGAAGAAAGAAATGGATGTGAAAGCGCAATTCTGGTAGTGTAGTATGTTCATTACATCACGGATGAAGTCGGGATCAATACTGGAAGATCACTCAGAGCGAATCTTACGCTTTAAATTGAAATAACCATTTCTAAACAGACTAAACCACTTTTGACTGCCGTAAGAACAAAAATTTACGACCCGAATCAACATGCCGTGACTCATGTTTTAAACCTAACTGACCAGTCTTCACGTAAACTGCTTTGAATAAACGTTTTTAAGGGATATTTTGACGCACGACGCGTTTAGATAACCGGCAGTACAAATATGGCGTTAGCAGAAACAGCACTACTACCAAAAGTGTATGCTTCTGTCACCTATCCAATAGGATACGAATTTTTACAAACACCGACTACACAAAACAGTGGAAGAGCACTTATAAAAGGAGCCCGTCAACTCTAGAGGGGTCTACTTAAAAGCCGTTTTAAGTAGCATCAAGAAATTCTGTTTAACCTGTCCGAATATTGTTTAGTGCCGTTGCCGTCATATGAATTACGTTAGGAAGCAATAAAAGCCGAAGCGTGTTCACCTTCCTCTTCAATCACCTGTTCTTCCCCAGTGTCACGAATCAAAGCGAAGATTCGGGTTTGTTTTAGTACGCAGTCAAGGCCACGAGAAAGGCGCGGCTCAGAAGCCAATCAGATTCAAGACACAAAAACTCAAACTGTTCCTCAGAAAATCGATGGTGAACATTACCAGAAATACAGCACGAAACATCGATCTGTTGGTGTCGACAGTTTACCACACCAACGGCATTAAGTGGTTCCTCTCCCTAGGTCGGCACCAGCAAGTGGTCACGTTTGCAAATTCAAAAGGCAACATTCCGCACTAAAAATAGACTCTTCGAACCCCGTGGCAGATTTAAAAAAGAGACGCACCCAAAGTGACCAAACAAACCATTACTGGGGCTTGGTTGGCGTTTTGGAAACAAGAGGCTGTTCAAGGGCAATTAGCAACAATGTAAAATTAAAACAAAGGAGGGACAGCGCAAGACTAACCCGGAAAATGCAAACTTTTTTCTCGGAGCTCCAATAATTGATTATCGATTTGGCACAAATATGCTCTTTTAACGTCACTTGCTTCTGCGTTCAATCGTGGTGCTGAAACCACGGACGAGGCTCTTGAACTAGGTAGGTTCCTTGGAGAAGAAGAACTGGTTTACTAAATTTAAATTTGACCTCAGCAGTCCGACTGACTTCGATAAAAACCGCGTGAATGCGAGTTTGGATGAAAAAAAAGCATTAAACTTCACGCACAAACGAGTTTCTCCACCTCGGAGTGGGTGCGCAATAAAAAATGAAGATTCGTGAATCGCGTTGTCACTGGAGACGGGAATCGGTGATTTCGCCCAAATTTCGCCGGGACGAATACACGATGCCGCGAGTCAATTGACGATGATTTGCGTGTGGTGGGACTGCGAGACCCACATCTACAGTTTTGACATGATTACTCAATGGAAGCGACCTGGCAGCCAAATACAGTATGACAGCGTCCAATCACAAACTGCACAGCTCACTAATACCGTCATTATGAAATGTGGTTCGACAATTTCGGTGAATCCTGTGTAAAGTCTAGCCGTCAATTTGTCGGGTGACAAATATTTCGGATGGTTGTCGAGGTACATACATGACATGACACTCGACGTGATTAAAATTCTCAATAATTAGCCTATTGACGTTGCTTCAAAGATGAAACTGCATCAACAAATCGGTGCAACTGTGGGAGAAAGTCGTACACAATTGCAAAATCTACTTGACAGATTAATGTCGCCGTTTTTGCTGAAAATTTATTGGCAATAAGTGATTTATGCCGAAATCCAATGAGAAGCAAACTATTATGAAGGAGGAGAGAGTGATTAGAGAGGGAGAGTGAAATCAGCAACCGTACGCAAGGATCTAATCGTGAAAATACACTCACGCGAATTCCGGAACTGATCAAAGTTTGACTGGAGCAGCATGTGGGCAAGCAGTCGGTAGTAATTTCCCATCTCCTTGCTCTGACTGACTGTCCAGCTGCGCAGACTACTAGCCTGCAAGGCATCAAACAAAGACATGTGTTCAGTTGAGACGTTTAAACGACACAAAATGGTTGCTTACTTGACGAGATTTGCGGGATTAGTGCTCGACAAGCCGAAGTAGAACAGGCAATGTGACAAGCATCTGGCATTTCTGATCACTTGTGGGTGGTTTAAAGGGGTTTTGTAACGAAAAACAACAGAGGTAGGTTCCTACAGAGAATACTCCTTGTGTGTTGTTTGTAAACGCTTGCTCTTGTAAACAGTAATTTGCAGAAAAACGGTGGCATTGCACTCAACCACGGAAGCCACATTAAACCACAATGCCAGATAAGTAGCAATCTCAGTACAGAAAATTGTTTTGGCCAAATCCAGTCACTTTTGCAGGCCAGTGGGATGTACTAAGAAGACTCAGAATAGCAAAAAATACCGAGAATTAAGAATTGTAGGGGAAAACGGCTCCACAATCGGCAGACGAGGCTTGGAAGCTGTCAAAACACACTCGTGATATGCCCAGGGCTTGTGAGTGCAAGGAACAAAAACATAAACAAGGATTTAACAGGTTCACCTAATCTTAGTGTGTGATGTTTATTGTTATAGGGCGAAAAATATGCCTCGGTAGTGTGGAATGATTTGACCGCGCGTGACATCCACGCGCGACCACAAGTCGACCTTGGCGATGCAGCGCCTGATTGGTTGAATTTTTCAGTCACCTTTTTCACTGTCCTGTCGTTTTCCGACGAGTGCGGCGCACGATCCGCCCGATCACAAGCCGATCTCGTGTCCACACAGCCGTCTACCCATTCAGCTTTTTTAACATTCAAAAAACCAGTTTAGACACTGTGGTGCTTTCAATTTGTTTCAATTTAAACACTTTCTCCTGATACATTGGACGTACGTTGACTAAAACGTCTCAGTATACTGGTGGAAGAGGTTTGCTTATGTGGTGGAGAAAATTAAACGTGATAGTTCGTAGAGTATTTAAGAACTGCAGAAAACTTGGCAGGAGTGTGAACATAGGCACAGGTAGTGACGTGCTGCGGATATTTGTGGTCGCTGAGAAATTAGCGAGTAGTAAATTGCACTTTGAGCAACATCTAGCAGATGCCTGGAGTCATTGGACTTATAATACCGGGGAAGATATGCGAGGCGAGCAAAACGAACAAGGTAGTAAATTTGGGGATCGGGACCTGCGTGGATATTGCATTTCAGAGATGAGTATTTTATTACGCTTAAAGTATGCGGATGCAACTAAGGCAAATGCAGCCGCAATGCGCGGAATCTATCCAAAGGGAGCCTGCAGCTTCCCCATTTGACTCTCTGTTTGGTATTTGCACAAGTTGCCTGCACAACCAACTAACGAAGTTGTCCAAGAATCTCAACGCCGTGTCGTTCTGGAGTCAACGATTTGCGCGTCGAAGAATTTCCCAAGAACATCGATTGAGCTCAAGTTTCGATGACCTGTTAGCTCCAGGGACAAACTTGATTGCTTGAAGCAACGCCGAAATTCTAGGCAAACAGCCTTCCGCGTCTCCATGCCAGGAGTCGGCAGCTCTCAAGTGCCTCCAATCACTTTTCACGACCGTTTTAGGTCAAGGTCGAACTTGACCTTCAGGATATTTCCTGATTGGCATATGAATGGACCCGGCATAAGTTCAAGAATCGAAAAATGCTTAGCAAGTGCTTGTACACCCACCGCTTATTCAAATCTGCGAACCCCAAATTTTGCTTACACAGGTCTAGAATTTTCGCCAGATTACCGCCAAACAGTCCGATTTTGTGGTGCCTGCAGCTGCTTGACATCAAACTACCAAGCTACTTGGTTCAATCAATGTGCAAGAGCCTAAAAGGGTGCTTTGTAATGGCAGTAATCCAGGGTGGCGCTCTATTTACGCTGGATGCGGGCGTGGTTTGAACAACAGGAAGCCTAAGGTGCAAATCACGTGGCAATACACACTGAGATGTGTGATCTTGGAGATTTATATAAACACAGGCCACTTCGATAGCACAATTAGAGGTTGCACAGCAGTTGGTCGTAGCACGGAGAAGAGTTGCACACACCTAGAGAGTAAAATTTTTGAGGCGCCACGCCAACAGCCAATTACTCCTCTGAGCTGGGGGTTTAATTCAATTCGCAGCTAGCGGACTACTTGTAAACTAGGCAGAGCTGTTGTTGTTGTTGCTGCTGCTGCAGAAAACGCCAGATTGTCGATTTCGTGGATACGCACTTGTCACCGTAAGAATGGCGACTTTAAAAGTGCATTCACACGATATTGTGCAGAGGCATTAGAGGCCATGTAAGGAAACACTGAAATGAAACTATCAAGTAGAACAACAAACTGCTTTTAGAAAGTGCATTTGAAAGACGAGGAAGATGCACAAGCCAATGAGGTTACTTCCCCCAAAGAAATACTCTCGATCGACGGTCAGAATCGTATTCAAAAACTGAAAATATTTTCTTTCATACGTGTTCGAATGGGGTTGAATTAAAACAATTGATTATTGCAGTTGCGTAAACTTCACTTTAAGGCAAACCGACTCAAAGATTTTACAAATTTTCCTGTCTGCTTGAATTTATGATTTACTTACTAGGCAGAAATAATTGCAGTGCAAAAGTAAAAGATCAGCAGCCAATCAAATCCTGAGAATAAAGTCCAAGAATACCCCGAGGCATTTCACCTTGAAAAATTGTGTCATTGCGTACATGAACATGCTCCTTCCCGCAGTTTATTTGGCGGTTTTACATTGATAAAAAAACAGCCAGGTTACCTTGGGGTTAGCTTTTGGCATTTGAACACTGCAATCCGATTGGTCAAACCCCTTCTGTGCAAACGACGACAAATCACCAATGAATCAATTCATTGCGAACAAATCATGCCAAGAAATCAAATAACATTGCGAGATTATAAAGGATAAGCACAAATCATGGCCGAATATAGCATTTCCCCCTAAACCAGATTTTGACGTTGTCGCTACAAGACATAGTCCATTGTGAGAGCGAATTCACCAAATGACGCCCGTATTCCACCGATTCCACCACAACCAGACATACCCATGTCAGGAAGCCAGCATCCTTCTGCGGAGAGATGATGGAAGGCACTACGATGGAGAGGAGACCGGTTTTCGAAGAAGAGGCGTTCTGAGTGGACGACGAGGGTGCCGACAAGGCCACACTGTCGAACGACAGGGTCTCCTCGTGCTCAGCGTCCTCTTCGACGAGGAAGCTCAGCAGCCGGCGAGTTCCACTGCGGTTGCTGAGGTGAACGCTGGCGTGCGGACACGTCTCCACGTAGCCACGCATGAGACCGAAGTACGAACCGCATTGGTGCGCGTATTGGGGCACCTCAGTGAGTAGCAGCTCGAGGAGGTAATCGATCAGGTGGTTCAGCGACGCGTCCAGCTAAAAGTGGAGGAAAAGAGTGCTTGAAATGAAACGAAGATCATGTTAGGCAGCGCTAGATTCGACAGATTAATGTTTGAGCCTCTCTTATGCATTCACATCTTCACGGTTTGTGCAAAACCATTCCCCCACCTACTTTTCGCATGATTTTAATTGCTCTCAGCTTTGGCAAACGACGAACACTGCCAAGAGTTCGTTACAATGGAAAGAAAACATCTGTGAGTACATTTCCTAGTGAAAACAGTCAGATATTCTGACTAGCAAGTCCAACGCTGTGGACACATTAACCAAACCCACATACTGTATCCGTATAGATGCTATCGGAATTTATTTGACATCTTAGAAAAGTACTGAAAGATGTTGTTTCCTTTACTCAGACATGACGAGGTGGCAGTTCTATTTGCACTGTAATTAGTTGTTCATGGTTTCGATTGGCCGGTAAGTACAGCAGTTTGTGGAGAGACCCTTCTCGTGATTGGTTGTCATAGAGGCTTGGGTGGAAAGTGCTTGAAAGGCGTTTCGTCGAACAGATGGATGCTGATTGCGCTGTTGCACACACAAGGCAACTGGTGAAGCCCACTGTGACGACGCTTTTATTCTTTAACCGCTCTTCCCACCACCAAACCATGGCGGTTAAGTAGGAACGGTTACTGTAGATGGTGTGACATTCTTCAGGCTTACGAGGCTAAAGGAAAACTTTGGATGGGCATAAAAATAATCCCTCAAAGAACGATCCACGCCTTCCGTTAATTGCATTCAGTGAGGGGGCGGGGCAAGCGAAAACGGGGGTTGAAAGGAAATCATTTTGGTAAGTTAATTCCTATTGGTTCGTCCCTAACCAATAGCAGAGCCGCGGTTTTACAAATTAAGATGGGCGTCATTTTTGAGTTGCTCTTAAGTCGCGGTTTAAAATAATCCGATATTTGAACTACTCGTGTACCATGCAGCTCCAGATTCAGCCAATCCAAACCAGACTCATTTCAGCGCCATTAGAATGTAGTAGAGTTCACCAGTTAAAGCGAGAGAAAATCAAGTTTGGTCATTAAGTGCAGCTGCCCAAAGTGTTTGAACAAAAGTCTGCGCGAATCAGAAGACGAGTATTTTGACAGAAAATACAAGAGTTGTATATTTAAATTGCAATTTTCTGAGCATAATCATATGAAATAAACACTCCTTCATTCTCCCAGTAAATTTAAACTTCGATATGGTTCATGGGCAGTTTTGAGTTGTTTTCTGTGTTAAGTTATAATCAAATGCTTCTCCAGAAGGCTTTAAAAGAGCATCTTGATTGTTAGTCCTGCTCAGATCAGACTTACAATGCTTGCGTCTTTCGAAGCGAAGAAAGTGTTCAGAACGACGCCAACGAGTCGCGCTGTCTGATGACGAAGCAGGGGCTTTGGGCAGGCCAGAATGTAGTTACTACAATGTGAAAAATAAGCCCGATCAATAATTGCATCAAGATCATTGGTTAAGTTCAGCCAATTAAAATAGAGCTGTAGTTAATCTGACTTTTGTTGTTGTCGGGTCAAATTATAATCGATTTATCGCTTTTTAATGACTTTTACGCAGGATATGGGGTTGGAAAAGCGAATTAGGTTCTAAATTTATAATAACTCCGTGTCACTACACCTATTGGTTCCTACAATGACCTTCAATTAACTCTCGTGTGTACCAGAGATGCAACGTCTGGGCAACATGGAGCATACAATGTTACCAAACAACACCTTGAATTGTCATTGGATAACATGACGCCTTCGCAACTTGTCGATTTTCGTCGTTTCTCATTGACAACAAAACACGTTTTCGTGGTAAACAGAAATTATTAATTAATGATGTACTTGACATTCGGCATCTGAACAGACGTTGATGAGTGAAGTGGACTCGAGATGAGCATTTGTGAACGTTTTCGAGTGCATCTCACTTAAACGCAGTGGTCGTGTTGGTAGTGCTAAGTGAATTTTTGTCAGTACGCAAAATATTTTAAGTGATTACCAATTATTGTGTGTGTGACGCGTTCAAAACCTTCTCCACAATCTCTCGGGGAATAACACCACAAATTCTGAAACTTGGTACATCGCACGCCTAACATGCCACTTTCAAAGTAAACTAAATCAAAACTTAGTTACTCCCCTGTCATCTCACTAAAATTGAATCACCGTTCTGGTGAATCGGATGAAAAATTTAATAAAAACACACACCTACTATTATATATAAGTAGGACGTATTTTAGTTGCCACGATACCGATAAAGACAGCCCACAGACATCACGGAGGGGACAAAGCCACTTACAGCACTGGTCGTGCGGGCGATCGGACAAAGAAACCGAGGGCCCAGCTAACGGCATAGCAGTTGGCAGTCATTAAGGCGAGCATCGTGTCGAGCCAGTGGGTGTCAAGTTTGCTCCCGGCCTCCTGCAGACTGGCCAACTCCGCCGTGGACTTCTGGTGGTGTGCCTCGCCGACACTCTGGGAGGTGGGGGGTGCACACAGCCCCAAGAGGGCTGTGCAGAGGTCCGGGGAGATCGCCACCTTCACCGAGGCGTGCAGCGGGAGGTACGTGGTGAAGACGAAGTTGGCCACCAGCTGGCAAGCCAGCACTGCCCGCGTGGGCTCCAGCTGAAGCGCCGTCGAATCCGCCTTGAAGAAGCAAACAGTCAAGCCCTACTCCCCTCTACACAAGATCGCGTCGGTATAAAAGTTGACTCGCACTTACCAGTACGCCCTGAGCGAGACTGTGCACGAAGCTGACGTAGTCGGCTGAGAAGATACTCTGGTCACGCAGGAAAGCGAGATTGCGGCTGCGTATCTTGAGAAGCATCTCGTCCGCCGACGTGGGCTCATTCGTTGGCGTCAGACCGCCGCCAGTGTGGTCCGCCACGACCTCGCCAGCGTCGTTGCCGCACCAAGCATCGCCCGAGACCATTCCAACGAGGCAGGTCGACGAAGGATGACTTCCGCCCAGTGGGGTATGTGACATCGGAGGCTTGGAGGGTGTTGGGGTCATACCGAGGGACATGCAAGGCTGTCTGTTGGTGGTAATGGTACCCGACGACGTTGTGACTGATGGCATTATGAACTGGATGGATCGGTGACTTCCACGAGATGCAAGATTGCTCTGGTAGTCCGGAGAGGCTTTCGCTGTGTTGATTGGTCCGTCGTCACCTAAAGCAGTTAGGGGAACGCCACATGCTAATATAACGTTCTGAATCAAACCACTCGAATGATTGACCCGATCTTTATCATTCATTCTTGGGAGGACTTGAAGTCAAAACCAGAGATCAAGAACTGGTTTGCACTGTGCCGGCAGCACACAAACGCAAAGACGGCAATGATGAATTAGATGTAGCCAAAGATGGAACACAATACGTGATGTGGACATCATTAGAGATTAATCGGCCCGTCATATCAGCATGGGACAAATTCTGTGCAATTCCTGAAATCCAGCGCACAAGCCTACCTTGGTGCCTCGTCTGGGACGAAGCACTGGCCTGCATGACATTTCAGTTTGATAAACACACTGACTAGCACTAAAATGTTACGTCTTCACAGCATAGTCCTCTGGAGATATCAACGTAAAGTGTACTTGGCATCTGTAGACTGCCACTGCGCAACGCCGCTCATTTATTCGAACCTCCAGTTTTTATTGTGTCCACTGACTGTGGCTGGAACTGTCTTCTGCCTTCGAGTGGCTTCCTACTCTGCTGATAAACTGCATCAACTAAAGAAGTCGATGCTGGCTTGTCGTTAGTATTTCAAGTTCTCATGAGTGCAACACTGCGTCGATTCTTTGGTCGTGGCCTTTGTGGTGCTGTAGCCTGCTTTCACGACCTCGTGGCATGACCGCTGGTCAGTTTTGTGCCGAGGAGAGAGAAATGACTACGCAGAAGACGTGTGATCAACGAATCCCTGAGCTGTTTGGCATTTGAGTGCTCAGACTGCGCGTAACGACATGTGTGGGATAAGGGAGAACAAAAGGAGAGATGAAACTCAGTGATTTCCGCGCAACCTTCCGCACAGGCTCACGTGAATCACGCATGTAGGGCGTCTAGCTAAACACAGACTGTTATAAACACCATTCATCAATATAATAGGTGATGTAGCGAAAAAAAATTATGACACGCGGGCGTGCCACTGGCCAGGGAAGACGTGTCACTTTTTAGTCTGTCGTAACAGTTAAACTAAATCAATCGATTTCCAGTCCGTATTTTTTTTCTGCTTCCCGAAGTGGTACCGTTTGATGCAGCACCGTTTCCACACAAATCCAGCTGATCTTTCCCCGTGTTTTTCATGTGCTTTTTAAATGAGACGCTCACCAATATCTGGTGCCTACTCTATTTATGGGTCACAGGTTCCACGGTAAGACAACTTATCTGTGAATTTCATACTTCTAGAGGGCATGCAATAGCGCCAATGGTGCGCCAACTAACTTGTTGAATGATGCCGCATTTTCTCACCACTCGTGGAGCTTTTTCGGCGTTTTTTGCACCCCAAGGCACTGCCACTGCGAGGCTTCGTGGACGGTTCTGACGTTCGCCTCGAACGGGTCTTCTCAGGCGGGCAGACACTGCCACCGGACGAGGGTGGCACGCGTTGGTAGAAAAGGAGGTAGGCGCTGTAATTCCGCGTTCTCTTCTCCGGCGGTCGACCTGAAAGATGCCGAAAGAGTTGTCAAAAATCATGATGAAAACGACGAAAACACACCATGAAAGGTGATTGATATTTGTGTTATTGAAGGGGAATTGTATAACTGAGTTTACTAAAGCAGTTCCCAACCCGAACACCTCCTCAAACATGGCGCGCATTCCATTGAAAGACAACACGGTAGAAAGCTACCGAGTGGTTTCAATCAGTGGTGTCACCACGTTCACAGCGACGAATGGATCGCGTGAATGCGACCAGACCTATGTCCTGCGAGTCTTTGCGGACGAAGTCAACGTTAAAGAGCTGAAAGATGGCATAGTGAGTTGAATTCCCAGCGTCGTCACTTCAACTCAAAGTGAGAATCACAAGGATGATGTAACTGGCAGATTGTGGCGGCTTAGAATAACACCAGGTTCGTATAGCGCATCTGCTAACCACAAACCTGAACGGTTTCAGCATTGGAGAACTTGCACCTTATCATACAAGGAACTTCGAAAGAAAATCGCACTACGATAGAATAGCTTAGACGCAATCGTAAGTCCACCAGATGTGCACTTTAAAATGGTGTTCTATTCAGAAGTGAACAAGTACCTGGAGTTTCAACTAAGTAGGTTCCGCCGAAGCACTCCTGCTGCAAGAAGTCATCGGTCATTTCGACTTCTTCAATGACAGTGTCGTTGAACTTCAACCAGCGTTCAGGCGCGGTGGCATCGCCGTTTGTGAAGCAGGCGTCTTCCGACCCCAGGGTCAAGGTGTCAGCTGAAAGACGCATACATAGGTTTGTAGGTAGCCATACCACCGAAAATTACAGATGCCAGACAGCTTGTGGCAAGCCTGTTCGAGCGAGCTTCCACTCATTCTGGTCCGTTGACGATCCACTAAGGGTACTTTGAAGGCAGTTAAGCATATCCTAAGTAGCTATTTCGGAAATTGTCGATCAATGCCAATCTGCTGGACTGCAAGGATCATACACGTGGAGGAATTTGATCAGTCGAACGAGTGACTCGTTTACGTGAAGGTTCGTCTACTGCGTTTTTCTCTACGAGAACGCACAGGCCATCATTCAGACTTCCAATAGGCCTATTTACTTACCCCTTGATTAATTCAAGTGTCGTAAAGTACGCTTCTCTTCCACAGAGGTTGGAGTACTTGGTGGTCATTTGGCCTGACCTAATTCGACTTCAACTCAAGTGGACAGATACACTCGCTCTCGAGCAAAATATTCTTTTTGCTAAAAACACAAAGCATGCCTATTTCACGTGGTCTGAACCAAGCGTGTGACTCCAAAAATTTGACCCCTAGCTAGAAAAAAACTAACAAAAATGTCAAGTTGTAGAAGAGGAATTTGTAAAAGGTAATAGCACACGTGTTTCGTCTAGGTTGGAAGGACTAACTGTTAAAAAAAGTGCTTGAAATTTCGCAAGTGCGAAATCAGACATGTCTGCCATTGCTGTTGTGAAGGTGCGAAGTGAGAGAGGCGCAATTAAAAGTGGCTCACACCAGAACCACGAAAAGATCATTGTGGCGAATTGGAGTGTTACATACTTGACTGACACTTAAACACTTAATTCGTAATTTCTAAAACCCAATATTAAACCATGCTCTTATGCTATCATTCACCGAAACAATTGGACGGGTTTGTCGTGAACGGTACCTTCAAAAGTGCATTGGTGACGGGTTCAGAGATCGGAGTACAAGGCGATTTGGCGGACCCTGAATTTTTATGGTGTAAATATGATCGTTATCCACTAAAACGATCCACAGATCGCGGCTGATTGCGTGGGAACCACTAATGATACCACAAGCCGAGGCTGATTGGGTGACAGTTTTCCACCAATTAACCAGAAAAATCGAGCTTAATCAGGGTTATTTTCCCGGCTACGAACACAAGTAAGTACTTAAAACCCTTCAAATCAGTCACAACAGAACTCTAGCCGGATCTGGTCAACCATTTTGCAAAGCGTGATTCTTGCATGGGCATTCCATCCTGACAACCAGTAATTAATAAAACATGGGCAAGAAGGTTAGCTTTATCAACAAGCGAAAATATGCGTAGGATCGTAGAAGCCTCGATTTAACGGCATGTAATCAGATGGGATCCTTCAGCAGATACAAAACAAATCCCTCTTTGAAATCGGCAATTTTAGACTGTGTCATGGATCCTGCTCTTTCGCTTCCATGCTTCGAGCTTCGCTTTCTGATCTCCTGGTTGTACAATAAAATTTTTGCATCTCTACTTGCGGCATGATCCATGAAAGAGCCTAACTCACACATCTGAGGTATAAATACGCATGTCAAAACACCGCACATGACACAGCGATACCAACGTGATTGAGCTCTGATATGAACGGTTGTGTCCACGTCCTCTCCGGTATTTTTCTTCGTCGTGTGAGAAAAACGGCTGTGGAACCCATATATCGAGTTTCCAAGTGTATCCAAGTTGCAATAAATTGCAATTTGCAATCGCACTTTCATCATTTAGTCTCTCAGGCGCCCCTTTCGTGGTAATCCTTGGATTATCCTTAAGTTAATCATGGGCAAAGTCATTTTCCCTTACCAAAGCAAATTTTCTGTTTAAATTACTTTAAAAGAACATTTTTGAGTTTAAATCGACTCATGAGGCATAGAGATGGGTTCCAGTTAGTAAACTAATTTAAGGAGAAACAGTAGCACAATCAAAAGTGCGCGTTTCTGTCATCTGCTACAAAAAACACAAACTGTTGGCATTGCTACACAGCATTTGGGAGGACTGTTTCAACCAGAAACGGCGTTCGCTGCCTAATTTCTGCCTGATTAAGCTTACATGGAAGAAACTTGCGGATGGGATTGTGTGACCCACCAAGACCCGAGATGCCAGACAGGCCGGAGTTCGACCGCGACCTCTTGCGTTCGCTGCTGCGAAGTCTAAAATGCCGAAAGATGACAGGTAAACCACCTGTAACCCAGCATGGATTTGCCATGGATCTAAAATACGTCGAAATGACAAATTAGAGGTGCATAACAAGGCACGACTAAGTTACTGATTGACAAGTCAAACACGAGGCGCAAATCGATGGGGTGTTTACATCTTCCTCGGGAATCAGAAAAAGATATTTACTTGTCGACCGCCGCTTCGTGATTTAGTAAATTTCGCCACAACGAGCGTAATTACTTTCATTCAATGAGTAGAGCAAGTATGGGTAACATGGACTCTACTCGGCACTGTGAAGCTTTTGTACAATTTATTTAAAAAGATGCCACATTGTTGGACACTAACTGCACCTAAAAGCAGATTCAACAATCTTGGAAGATATTTTCACAAACCCGCTGATTTGAGCAACGAATGATGCTGCCTGTCGTTCAGTCGTTCACTCCTGTTTTGCGCTTATACAGTTATTAGACGTTCTTCAATTGTCATTAGTTGATTTTGCCTGGGACACAACGCACTATCTGGAACTGAAAAATAAATAGCCAATTTCTGGCCACCAATGGGAGCTAACACTGGACATCAAAAAATGGAGCGACCAATTGTTTGAATAGCTGACAGACTGATTGCCTTAAATGAAACCTTTACATCCCAACACAACTAAACTAGTTAATGTAGAAGCAAACAATCTGGACAATGGTTGGGCACTTCAGCTAGTTATTGACGTAAAGAATCGGACTTTTGATCGGTTGAACAAAAATCGATAACTATTTGAGAGTTGGACTTCCTTCGACCTATGAGTACAAGCGGAATACAAAGATGGAATGATACGTGTCGAAAACCATGAATCGTGATGGTGGCCAGTAAATAATCTGAAAAGTAACGCGACTGCTGTTGTCTGCCAGGAATTGAAACCAGATCACAGTTGAGGTTAACCTCCAACGATACAGGGCAGATCTCTTCACAGATCTGAAGATATTTTGGGGAATTAAGGTGAAAAACCGATTCAGGTACACTCACGCCTCCATTCTGCCGCGATCTCGAATGAATGAGTAGTAGTGGCCAGCATGCGCCTGACCAGAATGGATGACGATGCCGGAGAGTTCGTAGACGCAGCTCGGCGGAACAACCTCGAAGGACTCCGAGGCAGAGCGGAGCGAGTGCTGCGGGTGCAGTCTGTCGCCGCTTCCCGCTCGAGGCAACCCAGAGTCTGGTGCATTTAACGCCGCTGGCACGTGCTCCTCTTCATCCTGCAACATTGAGATCACTTGTTGGCAGCCTGCTACCCATTCAGCTATACAAATTACTGCTTGCGTGTCTGTTAAGGCTGGTGACCAAACAGAAACACCAAAGATGCATTCACAAGATAACATTGTTGTGGGCCCCACCATGTGGTCTTGAACCAAGCCGAGGCCACTTAATTAACCCAGGCCTGATTACGCTTTCCTGATACCCGTGATGAGGAGGAAGACCGAAAAGGACGTGGAAACAACCGTGTACTTCAGAGCTCAACGACGTTGATGTCGTTGTGTCGTGTGTAGGGTTTGCGCGTGTGTATTTATGCCTCAGATGCGTGAGCCATACATTCGCTGACATCGAGACCGAGATGTGAGGTTAATCCAAGATAACTATTAGGGCGAATGAGGAGGGAGTTGAGGATCCGCGCGGCTAGTGACATGCTGCGAATTGGGGAACCCTGTGTCGGAGGACGGAGCTACCGGATTAAGGGGTGTGTTAAAACACGATTCACAACAATGTAATCCTTCAAATCTCTGCATGAAAAGGACGTTACCCAAAAAGGCGGTGTTAAAAGTGCAGTTTAGTGGTGTTTGATAACGTTCACTCTAAAATGTATCAAGAGGTCTGTAATTAAATGACATAAAAGACTGTACTTTTGATGGGAAGACGTCATGACACATGGCGGTAATTAAATAACATGCAATCGTTTCAGGTTTTGATTGTTGATGCCACTTTTTAAAGCTCGAAATTATCTTACCTCTGGATCAAACAAGTGGAACCCCCTTTTGGCTGCGTCAGGTTGATAATCTGCTGAATTTCGTTTTCCAGACAACAAGTCGAGGGAAGTGTTTGAGTGGATTGATAATCCAGATGGCATCTACAAGTTAAATTGTGTGAATTAAAATTTGGCTGCGTCACTTCTCACAAACTCGAATAATCTTCCGATCTATCACTCAAGGTCAATCAGCTACCCACTAGAAACAAAATCGCCACATTCATGCCTCGATTCTGACTGAATCGCCGGATTGCCTACTCGAATCATCAGTAGTACAACCCACTAGCCTATTTCCATCTCAAATTATTACCTGACATATCAGATGCGCCTGAGCTAGGCATGGAGGTGGCAGAATTCTGAGTAGCTAATAAGCAGCCTCCACTGGTTTTGGTTGCAAAAACGACAAACCTGCTGACCAATCACGTGGCCATCAAGGTACCACTAACCTATCAGCAGACCCCATCATCTTCTTCATGAACGACCCATAAACTAAATAGGTCCTTTACCCTCTTAGTAATTATAGACAAAAGTATGTTTGAGAATCTAATAAGCGCTTCGCATGAACAAGTAGCAATGGCTGTAGTCAAATGTGTGCAACCAATCAAAGATGCCAAATATGAAGCCAATCGACCAATCACGAGTGAGAGGGTGAAAAAAAGAGGTAAAATAATCGCCTACAAAGACAGAGGGGTCACAGACGAAGGGCGTCATATCGAGTCTTCGCGGGAACGAGAAGGCCTGGTTTGACTTGACGGCGACCTGACGCTCCCAGTCGAAACCGAAGCGCTTCAGCTGGAGACACAGCACCGGTGGGAGGCTGCTGAAGGCGAGGCGTTTCAGCGTGCGTTGGCGCATTTGACAACGCTCGCAAAAGTAGGCATTGTCGCCGTCCATCACCTCCTCCCTCGTGTACTGACGCATCTCTTCCAACAGATCGCCCGTGCAAACCGTCAAATTGATGGCAGAGAATGACTGTTCTCGATCGTAACTACAAGGCATATGAAAGGGCTTGTCAGATTAACCAAAGAATTTTCATTTTGAAATCAAGCAGAATGTTGGGCCCATTTGAAAGTAAATTATTTCAAGCTTTTGACCTGCATTAAGAAGCCACTGGCTCGCCAATTGGTACAGAATTACGACCCAGATCTTCGGCTGATGCACATTGGTTCAACTACTCTGAAAAGCGGATTCCAGTACCGATTTAGTTGAGTGAATTATCAAATGACTTCGACACAATAAACCAACAAGATCAGCACAGAAGTAGAATAACATACCGATGACCACAGTCTTCACAGAACATTGTGTCCGAAAGAATGCCGTGAAATATCTTTGAGAAGAATGGCACCTCATTGAATTTCTGTAAGCACGAAGAAATGACAAGTAATGGAATGGGTGGGAGGGAGGCATTTTCCTCGCCACACTATCGAAAGATGACAAGATAGGGCAATCTAACCTGTTAAACGTAGATGTATTGAGAAAGGGAGGGGGTACATACGTGTTTGGAAGGTGATCAAATTAACCAAACGTTGCGTTAGAGTGAATGAGAGCGGCCCAACGAACTTTGTTGCTCAAGATGGCATCTAGTATGTAAGGTAGCCTTCTGTGCGACTTAATTCCTATCAAATTGTAGCAAGTGGCCGTGAGCAGAGAGCAAGAACAGACCATCTACCTTCATGCCTTCATCCAGCTGATCAATGAGCGACTGGAAGAAGTCGAACGCGTCCTGCTGCTCGTGGGGATCTATCGGTGTGGCTGTGTTCCACAGACGGAAGCTGTGCCAAAATCCAACGGGGTCGTAGAATTGCAGTTGTGAAAAGAGGAGATTCAAGAAGAGCTAAAAAAGATGTAGACGATCGCAATCAATAACAGGGAACTTGTGTACGAAGTTGGAAGTAGAATACCAGATCTTTTGCGATTCAGTCGCACTGGTATTTTCAAATACACGAAGGAAAAAAGATGCATCAGCTTCTTAAATAAGACAACCAAAGTGATATTTGAGCAATTTGTGAGTATGCGCACACCTCTTGCGTCTGATAGAGGAGACTGTCTTTGTCCAACTTGGAGGTGGGCACGTCAAGAATGGCCTCAACAACCCCAGGTTGCATGAAGAGTTGTTGGAGGACGGCATTCATGTAGCACGTGCCACCGCCGTTGCGGAGGCCCGTGAAGTTGCAAGCTGCGCGCCCCAAAAGTGACGGTCGGTAGTCCCAGGTGATGGCCGTGGGCAGATGGTTGGTAGCGTCCGCGTTGAATGTGAGACCGCCCACCACCTCCTCCTCCTCTTCGACTGCGGAGAGACTGGAAAAGGGTGTCGGAGAACGGCTGTGTTGCGATTGGTCCTGAGGTAAGTCCCGATGGTGAAGCTGAATCAGAATGTTGACGGCCTACAGCATGAAAAAAAAAAGATTTTAAGCCATTATATAAGTTATTTACACAATATTTGATGAAAGAGACCCGGGTTTTGTTTTGTGCTTATGGAACAAACTTCACTGGCGGAATTCTCAAACGAAGACACCGCTCACCTTTTCCAGACTGTGAAGGTCCATCCTAGCGAGGAAGAGCAAGAGTATGAAGGCCTCCTGGCGGGCATTTCCGTTCAGTCGCTTCGGCGGTGGCTGAAGCAGGATGCTCCCAATTCCATGCAAACCCTTTCCGCCGGTGTGACAGTGTTGGTACTCCTGCAGAATAGTGTTTGCCACTGGGAACATGTAGTCCGTGAGCAGTGTTGGCACAAGGTCGGCCAACATTCGAATGCAGTTTGTCACCAGCGCAGCCAACTTGGAATCGATGGAGGCGCTCGGACGGGCGATGTTGAGAGTGAGATAGGCACTGGACAGATGGCCCCCTCGGACTGGAGTTGTCTCCGCATCTGCGACAAGATTGCCCTAAGGACAGGACAAGCAGTCTGCTATGTATTTCCACAGTCACGTCTGAACCTCAGTTTCAACGATCTCCATCAAATGAGACGTTAGTAGAATCTCCTACTCATGGATTCACCTTTGCGACAGTGTTTCAGACAATAAGTAAACTGATCTCGTCCCACTAGCTACGTGACTGAGAGAGAAGAACACGCGGAACTGAATAAGACAAATGCAAATGGGGGATTTTGAGGTCGACCGGCAGCGCCGATTTCACAGTGGAGACTTGTCTGACATTCTGGCTCACATTTCATAGGCTGCCACTAATAACCAATCCTCGCTGTTTACAATCACACCAAAAATACACCACAGGGCAAGTGAACTGCGTCCGCCTTAGTGTCCACGTGTTGTCAAATGAACAGTCAAGAGACAACGATGTGGTTTGACTTAACAAGACAGGAGCTCAACCAGATTTTGGCCAGCTGTTTCAAAGGTGGCGCCTTTTTTCGCAGCTGCCTTCCTGACACCAGGTAACCTTGAGTGGGACACGCTTTGTGACTCAGATTTGTGGAAATGCGCGTTGTTGTTACCAGGCTTACCCTGTCCTTCGTGCCTGCACCCAATAGGAGACGAGGAGGCGAAAGGCCTTGGCAACTGGTGCCTCGTCGGGCGCTGCCAAATTCGTCCCACACCGCGGACGCGGCGGATGCCGTGGCGTTGGATGCGGGTGCGACACACGCGGCCACACCCGCGCGCGACTGGTTAGCCACGCGGGCCGCGACCATGGCAACCATTTGGGTGGAGGCCACGCGAAGGAACTTGAGGTGGCCGTTCAGCAGGGCGCAGTCAGGAGCGGGAAGCAGGACATCGCTCCAAGAGACGGCATGGGAGTGGGCCTGAGCGAAACGCTGGAACCACCGTATCTCGTCCTAAGCAAGAAGGATGCAAGAACTGCTAGCTGATCCGAACACAGCTGTTAAACAGGAGCAGTGATGCACCCTAAGGCGTATATTCTCATCACGTACTTGAGGCTGTATTGCGTTTAAGCTGTGACAACAGCACAGGATTGCAATACAGTAACCTCCAGCGTGAACATCGAAATATAGAGGCCATTTGACAGAGCTATGGAAACGGAATGGTTCCGGGATCGTGTTGAATGTCCCTGCGAACCCAAGCTGGCAGGGACGGACTCAATGCGACCCATGACCTCGACCAGCTTGGTAACCACATAAGCGTGGTAAAGTAGCATTTACCAAGCCATTATTTGATCTATCTTTGTCGTTTTACCGACCTAGTTTACCTGTTGAGCAGTTGAGCAAATCTACATCACCATCTTTACAACTCGCGATTTTCGGGCTTCCGAGCTACACATCTTCGCCACCTGTTACTGTTTACAATGCAGGCCCAGTTTTCTAGGGGTGTAATAAAAGAATTCCCCTCGTGTGTGTGTGCCCGTGGGTCAAATTTGTTCAAATGTCAACTGCCACGTGCACCACAACACGGTCCACAAAAAATGGCAAGACGTCAGGGAAAATTCCGCCTGCTTGTCGAGGTAGATTTCAAGTCAAGCTAAGTGTTGATAAAAACAATTCGATCTCTGGATAGGTGAGCTTGATAAAACCAAACTGGACGTGTTTTGTGTGTTGGATGGGCCCACATAACTGCCACAAGATGCATCCTAGAATGTAGAAGGTGTGTACGGAAACCGGGAGACGGGCATGAAAAGGAAATTTGCTAAGTCTAAACGGTGGTGGATTACAGGTAAAGGAAACAACACTTCATCGTACGACTAGACTTGAATTTGAAATGGATACGCCGAATTCCGGATTCAGTTAAAAATGCGACCCCATATAGTTCAACTCTCAGAACTTTGCTGGTGTTTGAAGTGTAATCTAATTTTCAAAAGTACTTTTTAAAGCACAAAATGTTTTTTTACGCTGTTTCAGTATCAGAATTTGTCTGGTTGATTGCGTTCTATTCGTTCTTTATTCGCCAGTCCAATATCCTTAAGTTCATGAGTACTTTTAATGACAATCACCGCTTGAATTTACAGCCATCTCATGAATTACCAGGCTCATGTTCCACATCTCTGCATTTACCAGGCGAATTCCGACCTAGTAGTCTGTTGGAGAGGGTCCACTTTCGATGACATACCAAAAAAATAGTTCATAAATAGGTCGATATCGTTTTTAGTCATTGAAAATCAGATTTCCTTCTTAATAAGCTAAGTCAGGCAACTGCGATTACTGCCGGTTTAATCTGAGAACTGTCAAGTATGTTCGAAAACGATGTTTACCTCGAGTACCATGGTATGATTTTGTCCACCAAAGCGTTCCAGACAGCTTGTCTCGACCAGAGCAAAAAGTCGACCTCTCAGTCGAAAGAACTCCGCGCAATGCACCAGAGCCTGCCTGTCTTCGTCATCAGCCAACGCGCTTAACTGATTGGTTGTCCAGAAAGGGGGCAAGAGGTTACTCAAAGAGCCTGTCGTCGATTCTCTGGGTGCCCTGAAGAGCAGTCCCAGGAGAAGGTCAACGAATGGGGTGCTGGCGACGTCCTGGACGGAGATGAGGTCGAAACAGTAGGGTGGCAGTCGGGAACTGTGAGAATCCGGTGAGACTTCCCATGCAAATAGTTGGCAACACGGCTCCACACCAAACGCCGAGGCCACTGGTTGGTGATGCTGACCAGCAGAAAGGTAGAGGAGTTGCTCCAGCTGATGGCAAGTCTCAGAACGGATCCTAGAACAGAAGGAGCGCTTTGATTGGGCATAAACTACTTTACAGGAGCAGTATTCCTCAATGAAGTCAAAACACCAGGTTTACCCTGGCAGTCAGTGATTTCCTTCATGATGAAAGTAAGAGTTATTTGAACAGCACATGGTAGTAGTGGACGTGATTGAGAGCCCAGAAAAGTGGACGTAGAACAAATGTGCGATCGATAGATATTGAGCAGGATGGTCACAGAAAAGGAATACCTTTCGAGTTCCAAAGAATATGGATTCGGAGGGACTCTAGTTCACACCCACTAAGGTTTAACACTAAAATTCAGTGGTACAGATAAGCCTTCTCTCATTCACAGAAAACGAGGCTTGCAGCAATCGTTTCGGTGAGAAATTACGTTATGAATCAAATTCGATTCAAGGTGGAAGGTTGACTTTAACCGGAATTTTAAGAGGAATGGTAACAAGAAATGGACCTGAGGGATGGAGAGTGGAGAAGAAGGCGAAGAAGCGAAATCTTGAGGTCCGGCATCTGCAGAAAGGGGTTCATGAATTGCGCCGGATAAGAGAGGACACACTGGCATAGCAGCTGGATGCTCTTCACGGCAATCTGAAGGATGGAATAAAACGTAGGCTTACTGGTAACCGTTCCACGCAGCAGTCCTGTTACAAACCCAGACGGTACCGATTTGCCCGTCTGAAACTTAAATATTTTACTTAAAAGGATAAGGTATATTGGGTGTGTGGCTTAATTTGTACAGATTTTTAGTAAATTTACGTGATATAAAAAAACAGGGTAACTAACTTAATCTTGGGAATATTATCACACTGCTTTATATGACGCTGCGCCATCTCTCAGGTAACGTACGAATGCCGTCACGAATAAAACTTGCAGGCTTCGAGGTACTAAATTCGTCCACGAATTCACGCACATCGTCCAGCGTTTGGAACTGTTTACCCACTAAGGCATGCTGTTGCTGCTTCTGCATTGACCGGAACAAATAGCAGCCGGATGGGGCCGAGTCTGGTGAAAATGCCGCATGTGGGAGAACCTGTTATCCCAAGTTCAAGAGGGTCTTCTGAGCCGCGCGAGCAACGTGAGGTAGTCGAGCGTTGTAACGCGGTAGCAGAATGACTTGCCTGCTTTCTTTCCCACTAAATGGCCCTACTCTGATCAAGCTCTTTGCTCAGTCTGTTCAACTGTCAACTGCAACATTTTACAGTCAGCAGTTCGTAATAAAGTGCACCCTTCATGTTCCACCACCAGATACACAGGATAGCCTTCTTTAAGTGGATGTGGTGTTTCGGTGTCAATGTCGTGGTTTGCCCGAGAACTACTCATCATTCTGTGTTTTACGTTTGAAATTATCGTAAAAAAGGATACATTTCATCACCCGTTGTAATTTTCCACATAAAATCCACTTAATGTTGCTGACGGGCAAGTAGGGCAAATCATGTGGTTATTCAAAATATGTGGGACCCCAATTCCAAATTTCTTGATTTCTTCCACTTAGTGATGCAAACGCTTAAAAATGGCTGTTTGGGTGACTTCTGCCTGAGCTGCTACAAACACTTGCAGCGTTTGCGTTGAGTCTACACAAAGTAGAACTTGCAATTGCGCGTCATCAAACTGACGGGGCTGCTGTCCGGGGTGAGGATGGTCACTAAGACCGAAATCACCACTTGTAAAACGTTTTTACCAATAACTACACGTCTCATTTAACACAACGTCGGCGCTTTAACCTTGCTAGAATTCGCATGAAATGCAGTGCCATCGAATATGTATGCCGCTTATCAGCTGCCATCGCAAATTCTGCTATTCTGAGAAGTCCTGTAACTCACGTGGACTTGCTGTTCAGTGTTCTAAAACCGTGTGTCCGATCCTTTCGAAACCACGACAGATAGCGGAAATATTTCTATTTTAAATATAATTTTAAGATCGAAAAAAGCCTGTAAAAATTAACTCATACACACCAATGAAATAAGTTTTCCACACGTGCACCTCATTAAAACAAACCTCGACATCCTGACACGTGAGTGCGAAGCCGATGGAACTGGCGAGGGGGTCGAGGGCATTCGCGACACCAGCGTGGCTCTCGACTATCGGCAGGTGTCCGCGACGTCGCCGTTTCATCCCGCCGCCGCCACCGCTCCCGCCAACACGAGCGCTCACAACGCCGCCAGTCCCGCTGCCCTCCGGACAGAACATCTGGGCGGCGCTGGCCAACGCCGTGTCCATCAGCACGGAGAGCAGCTTGGGCGCAAAGTCTGGCAGCACGAAGCTCGTGAGGGAGCTACAACTCGAGGAAAAACTGGAGGCCCTGGAGCCTATAAAACACAGACATTAAGGCTCGCTGGTGTGAAAGGGATTTGTGAACACGCAATAACCACCAAGACATCGCCGCCATGGCTGCTAGACTAATAACTCAGGCATATCTTGTGGTCATAGCACAAATTGCAATATTGTACCAGGACTAAACTGGACCGGAAGATCTTAAAGAGAGTAATGACTACCAACGGCAGACGTGATAATACACGATAGCAACAGCCAATAGGCACTGTATGAAACTCCAGGTCGTGCTACGTGGTTGGTAGGCCGAATATCGCGAGATTTTAAACGCATGTATGGAGTTAAAATTTCACGATAGCTAACCTTATTTGTGATTCATGCTAGTTAGAATGCAGCATGTTAAAATGCCTATTCTTATACACTTTCAGTCGCTACAAACGCCTGCAATCTGACACATTCCTGGGAGGTACGTTACCAGCTCATTGCAATAAACCATGAAGCAACAAGCCACTTTATTTTGCTTTTAACTAGAATCAGCTGGCCAAAATTTGACAACTTGATGTGCCTTTTAACGAATTTACAAGGTCAAAAATACACAGTTTATTGGTAGAATCGAGTCGAGGAAATTTAAACTCAAAAGTGGGTGTAAAACTATTCTGGGGGCTGCACAACTTAGTGGTTGAATGTCGCGAAGAAGTCCCCATGTAAGCATTATCAGGCATGGAGTCAATCTTCTTTGCAAAGCATGTCTTGGTAACGGTAGTGGTAGCAGATCCGTCAGTTTTTAAAAATTCTACCTCACTGACTTTGTGGATCACCAAAAGTTTGTTTATACTTTAAATAAACAATAATTTGTAGAAATTAAACCGTCAAACATAAAAGGAAACAAGATCGAATAACTTTGGCCATTAAGCCATATTTGTTTCCCCACTTCTGTGAACAACCCCGTAAACTTTTTCATTGATCGACTTTTATTCTTGATAGTGGTTCAGGGATGGATATTTTTCATGTTATCATTGAAATTTGGACAGTGACTGAAACAATCAACGCTGTGTCACCTGTAAAAATGATAATTCGTACCGACTGTTAGGATTTTGAACTAGTCAGAGGTCGTGGGACAAAACCTAGGCGCACTGTAGTCATCTTACCGAATGTTCGAGTAAGGTCGCATAACATCCGGAATTAAGCATCTGATCTGAGTGAACGGGAAGCAACAGTTCGCCAGACTTACTGCACTCGCTATTGTCCGGTGAGTTGAAGGATGAGGGGTTGAGGAGGGTCGCGAGGATCTGGAGGGCGCAGTGCTTGATCTCCCGTGAAATCCACGCATCGGACCGGCAGGAGTCTTTCGCCTGAGAGTTCTCCGTGGGAGCCACCATCCTCACCAACATGTCCGTAACCAGAAGCCCGACAGATTCCGACTGCGCCGCCGTTCCTGCGATCAGCTGTTTTCGAAGAATTATCACCAGGGGCTCGAGCCAGTCACCTCTCCCACTCATTTTGCTTAACGTTACTGGGTGTTCTGTTAGAAAACAAGGCAGAAAAATGGGATAGTTCACACTACTTAATTAAGACTTTCTATACACAGAACAAATTGACTGGTTATCCGCGGTTGACGTTCGGATCTGTCCGTGAAATGTCACGCTTCCTAGTAGCTGCGTTTAATGTTGGAACGCGTAGAGCAATTACTCAAATAGCCTATTAGTTAAATTTCGACTAAATTAATCGCTTTCTATTTGAGAATCGCCTTCAAATAGACGAATAAATTGGTCTCCAGGGGTTAAAACAGCAGGCCAAATGAACATTTTAGCTAATTTTCTCCAGTTTTGAGCTGAAGAATTAGTTATTGTGGGTCTACTTGATTAAGCCACGAGCACAATTTTCAAACAACACGTTGTTTTTCATTGTCATTGATTATTTATCCCCCAAATACTTGCATGTTTTTTCCGATCCTTCTTCATTTCAAATCTCGAGATTTCGACTCAAAATGCCTGTCCAAACATGTTTTTTTTATTTTCGCATGAGTGTTTAATGAAACCTAACGAAAATTGCTGGACGGACGAGATGAAAATCCAATGGAGCCACGCCTGGAGCTTCAGGTACCAGAAAATGACCCGAAGATGTCTAAACGCCAAGACTCAAATGTGTTTGGGAGACGCTGATTTTGAATGTATTGATTTGAAGAGTTAGTCAAAGAAACTGTCACGCCTATGCCACTTCAAAAGAATCTGTCAGCGCCAGCATCATCGACCTGGAGGGGTCCTGCTAACATGTCTGGAACGTTGGTGCACTTAAATCGATGCCACCAATCACCATTGTGACAAGCTAGTTGGTACGCGTGGACAATCGTTAATCGATAGCAGGAGGAGACGATTACCTGGATTACACTTCCAAAAAAAACAAGTTTTCCAGGGTTTCGTAAACCATTACTGTATACAATAAGTGGCAAGAGTATACAATTGAGCGTTCGGGTGGCACCCTTTGTCCCCTTGGAGATGTGGACGTTGACGGAGTCGATTTTCCTAAATCGTTTTTTTTGGGTCGATGGAATCGCTAAGCATAAAGGTCTTAATTGACCATTTTGTTAGTCACGGGAAGCAAGTGATGAACGATATAACCACAATCACACCGTTTTCACAGCGATGACCTGCTCCCCGATCCAGCGTTTGTTAAATGGTAGTTCTAGATAGATACCAACTCGCCTGCCATGTGTCTGGATACAGTTGCTCGTGGTGAACCAATAACAATCAAAATAGTTTAACTTAACGTAATAGACACGGCTACTGTTCACGCCAAAACTATTTCACTGCCTCTTAACTGTAGTATTTTTATGCAAATGCCTCGCCTCCTAAATGTGATTTTTGAAAGTTAGGCGGTAATGTTTGATGGTACGTGGTTTCAAAAAAAAAATATTTTGGTGCAACTACACTTGTGATAGATACAGATTATATGGATGCGTGCATTCCAACTTTCAAAAGACCAATACAGTGGCAAGTGGTAAGGTAAATTGAAAGCAAAAGTTCTGACTTTCATTTGTCATGTCTTTCCCGTAAAACCTTTTGTTTTACTGTGCTGGCTTTGTTGGAACACAATTCAAACTGCCCAACAGAGATAAGGACTCTCTATGTTGTATACACTTACTGCTTATTCTATTTACTGTCGTATTATTTTGTGTTCGAGATAACCGCTATTAAAATCTGCGGTGATGAATTGTTTTTTTACTGTTCGTCGATTTCGGCGCGTTTATCCGCCATTGCTTATGCTGGTGTTATTCACAGTACCCTCACACGTCGGATGGCACTTCTTCAAAGCATACTGACCAGTCGCAGTCTAGATTTGATTGACAATCCTGAATTATTGACCTTCAATGGTGAAGCGAATTTTATTAGTTTGGATGAAATTTGCATTTTTACTACAAAACCACTTAAACAGCGAAGGTAAAACAGTCCAAGTGACACAGGAGAGCCTGCCATTGTCAATTTTAATTCTGCTGGTTCAGGAATTTTAAATATATCAGAAGTCAGGTTATACCACGGTGAAATTATTCATGCTTGGGTTGACGCTTCTCATTGGAGCGGAAAACAGAACATCGAATCAAACAATCTTTGCATCTCTGTTGAAAATTTAACTTTCTCCGTTCCCGATAGACTGTGGCAAAAAACAAGAATTTATCCAATTAGAAAATGCATGTGCTTGCCTTCAAATAAATCAGTTTTCTCAGAAATTAACATATTCGACATTATGTGACCTGATAACATTCGTACACTTCTCTCAATTCGACTTATCTGCAAAAAACCTAAGATATGTAGAGATTTGTTTATTGGCGAATTTTACTCTGGATACTGCAAATCACGTGAAAATAGCCTTTTCCTAGAATACATTTGGCATTAGCTTAATGATCGCATCACTGATTTTTTAGAAAACGTTGCAAATTAAGCGATGCGTTTTTCCATCAACATAAAATAAATCTTGAGGGTGTCACAACCAGCATTACCTGCAGCGTCTTTAGCCTTGTCTCCACCGCCAACAAGCCATCTGATGCCTCTCTGACCGATGGTAGACTTCTTCCCCAGTCGTCGCACCATTTCCGGCGAGGGCGGACACGAGGTGGAGGCGGTTCCGCCGCCGAACAGCCGCGTCGAAGGCAGATTGAGGCAGGACTCGGAGGATATGAGGGCCACAGACTTCTTGGTGGCGACAACTCGGCTCCCCGACACACCCTCTGCCTCCGCTAGACTGCGGCGCTGCACGGAGAGACTGGGCGGAGTGGCGTCGGGCTGCGCGACGCCACGATGGCCCTCTGCGTGACACTCCCACCAGGCAGACGACTCACGGGCCACCAGATTGCCACTCAAAACCTGGAACATTAATTACGTTTATTTTCAATTTTTTTTGCAAATTAAAACGTTTATATTCTAAACAGACCTTCAGTCTACAAAGAGGCGCTTCAACTCAAATCGGCAAGATGTGGTCAAAAGAAACATAAAATTTTGATTTATGCTCGCCACAGCCTCTTAGTGAGGAATCGGTCAGGTTGGACGTGGCGTCTGCAGTGGATTCGCGACGCTGGCTTATCAGTAGTAGTGACATGACCATTTGTGACTCCTCCTTGCTTTTTCATTAATTCCCACGCACCGCTAAGCCCCACTATTCTACACCCACAGCAGTACATCACACCTAATTGTTAACGGAGAATTTAGTTGAAAGGCAGCACAGTTGGTTGAGTCCGATATTTGAGCAAATAGACAGTCCACTCCTAGAGGCTGCGCTCAAATTTCAGCTGCGTTGGGTACAGGAACTACGCAGATCACCGTCGATCAAGGCAAACGCCCGACACCGGCTTAGTTAATTAACGTTAAAGTGCATTTAACAGTGACCATGACGTGTTCCTGCCGACGATTCTATCCGGGAAGACAGCAGAGAGTTGGAAGAAAATAATCAGCTGCGCCGGCAATAAGCCGGAAGCATTTTGGGTGATGCGATTGGCTGCAAAAACGGTCCTACACCGTATCCAAGCCAGCCAAGTCTAATCCCTTGTGGGTACATTCGTTCGACACAACAGTCAGAAACTTGGAGTACACTAACTGAACCGTGTACAATAGCAACAAGACCTTCAAACTCTTCATGAAGTCACCGAAAGCTAGAATGTGTGGCATCCCAGTGCATGTGAGTGGGCAAACGCACACCGTTTACTTAGCTCTCTGAGAATAAGACGCCTCATATGGACGTCAATTCATTCCTCATATGCGACTGGTCACAACGACTGTAGTGGAGGAAGTCCAGCGTATTTGGAGCAATAAACCAGATATGATTTGGTTAAGCAGAATGGCCAATAAGATAGGAGCCATTACGGAAATGCATCTGCGTAATGCCAACGTGCCCTTAATTTCCATAGCAAAAATCACGCTAGTCACATTCCACCAAAGAGTGATACCCGAAGCAAGATAGATGTCTATGGGTGGTCAGTATAGAAAGCACGTCAGCTAATACTTGTCACACAATGTCCTCTCCATTCTACGTAGAATTAGGGGAATGCCACACACTTTCTGAGTCCAATCAATGGGAAAAACACACCTGGAGGAGGTACAGCAACCGAAACTGCGAGGCATCGATCAAGTTCTGAGGTGTGCATGCCATTGAGGCGGCAAAAGAGTTTGAAACCGATTTGCCACCACCGCTGGCGCCTTTTGTGGGCTTTTCAGATGCATGAACTCCAATCGGCGGGCGGTAGGTTGGCAGACAGTAGAGCAGAAGTCTGGTCATGTGAAGCAGATTCGGCCCAGTCGGGGCCGTTCCAGTCTCCGCCAAATCGTTTTCCGCCAGGCTGAACAACGACTCGTACGCGGATCCGTTCGCGGAAAGCATCAAGCTGGGCAACGTGAACCTTTGCGACTGCAAATAGCCCGGATCCACTACAAAACCGGTCTGCTTTTCTGTCGTGCCGTGCAGAAAAGACGCCACCTTTGGTAAAAATGACGAGGAAGACACTGAAGATCCGTGGTTTGGCGGTGGAGGAGGCATCAGCTTCCCGCTTCCTCCCGACTTCATCGACGACGCTGACGTTCGCCGGAGCAAGGGAAGGTGCAACCCATCGGATATACTCACGGAGCTAGCGTTGCCACTGCCCATCCCCCCACCCTGATGTTCCACATGCGGTTGAAGCCGGATCACCAGCGTGCGTCCAGTTTGAAACCCGAGTTCACCAACCGCTTCTCTATCAAGTTTGTGTCCCAGGGGTGTCTCGCTTTTGGGATCAGGCAGAGGAGCCTGTCGATTGCGGTTTGTCAACTCGTGCAGGCCGCTAACACCCGGGGGTTTAATAGGATCAAGGGCGAGGATTTCCGACCCGAAGGCGAACCGTGTCGTTGAATTTGTGAGCGCGTAAAGGCACACCGGTATTAGGAGGGCAATCTGTCGTCGCACAGACGCCAGTGTGGCGTTCGAGTGGACAATGAGGATTGGATTGTTGAGGGCATCGGCGGTCGCGTCGCTTAAGCAGAGACCGAAGGAGGTGGTGTGACAGCGTGGGGTTAGTGGGAGGGTTGATGAGATGAGAAGTTGACCGGAAGGGCTGAGGACGCGTAGGGGAATGCGAAGCTCCCAACCACGAAAGGACATGTAGTGCGGCTTCCATACACTTGGTGGCTCATGTGCACCGATCAGTTCGTCCTGAAAATGGGAGAAGGCATCTAAGTGTGAGAAGCTAATTGACCAATCATAACCCACCCTTATGCGACGTGACTCGCTCAAGGTCAAATGGTACCAGTAAGCAGTTTACGAAATGGTGGGAAGAATGTTGGTAAATTAAGTTATTGGTACCTGCTTGTTGACTGCTTAACTTTTACTCTATTACGCCGAATCGATGCCAAATGGGAGGATAACGGGAATTCGGCACTGTCGAATAGAGAGAAAGGACACGAAAGAAGTAGATAAGACCATAATTTTACCTAGTGAACTGGGAGTAGATAGTGTTGAATCCTAAACATCATGCAGATGAGAATTCGAAAAGCATGTTTTATGGAACCCACGCGAAGAAAAGTATCTGGAATCTACGTTGGCGTTCGCGTGTACTATTCAAAGGAGAAGGGTTCAAACAATAAACCAAAAACTTCCTCGCAATTGTGAGAAAAATCAGTCAGTTGCAGAAGGTTGAAAGAAAGGTCTGTATTTTGATAAATCACGAGCACCACACAGTCCTATTGGCAAGACTTTATGGATAAATTGCACTGCAGGTTCAATGACATGTTCATTTCCTGTAACTCGATTGACGATTGGTTTGAAACTTCCAGAGTGGTGATTGGTCAGTCATGAATTTCCAGTGAGTAAGCAGGCATTTGGCGCGTGGAAATCCGAACCGACGACAACTCGTGGGACAGTCACGCATTTCGTTAGGTAGGTCAACGCCAGGACCAGCGCACTGACTAAACACAACCCCGCACACACACACATACTAACCTCGGCATTTTCGATGTACGAGAAGACGATGTAGAGGAGGCGATAGAGGGCCAGACGAGACGCCTTGGTTAGGCGACAGCGAGCCGAGGCGGCCGCCTTCGGGCCGACCAGGAGCGAGACCAAGAACTGCCCTGTGTCAGCTAGCAGGGCTCGCAAGCTGGCTTGCGAGGGCTTTCTTACGGAGGGGGACTTTTGTTCGCTTAATGAAGACGACAGATTGAGCTACAGGTGATAAAAGAAGGTAGACGCGAGTGAGGCTGTGTAATTCGAATATCTCCGCCATCCATAGTGGCAGAGTGTGTTGTCTGCTCAATTCTAAGGCTAACATTTCAACAAATCGTCCTCATGATGATTTTAACTAACTTTTGTTACCAAAAATGTAAGCTACACTATTTAAGAATGGGCACGAAGAGGCGGAGAGCTCAAAAATATGTAAACAAGCTTCTGATTGGTTAATGAGTGTTGACTAAGAAGTTGGGCATTTCGCAAAACACGGCTGGGGTGTTGAGTACCAGACTAGAACTATGAACTGCTCAAACCTTCGATCAACGCTTGACCACTCAACTGCCTAAGGGAATCTTCCATCTCAGTCTGAATCATGGTTTAGTGAAATTCTGAGGTCGCGGTAAAGTGTGGTGGACCGTTAGCGCATGCACCTGAAGGAAAACTTGTCCGAACAGGATTGCTGCAATTGAAATGGTACTTGTGGCCTATTAGTCACTGTCCCCAAGTCCTCAATAACCACAGCTGGGTTGGGGCATCCAATAAACAGTTACTTATTCGTCATCTCCGGTTTTCTCAACTCGCTCGGGTACCTAATTTGGTGCCACATATCAAGGCCTTGTTTCAGGGATGGAACAAATATGCCCAAAATACACATGACTTGGGTGAATTAAACGCCTTGTGCATTGTTCCACCAAAAGTAAGCGGACTTTAAAAAAGTCTGAATTTTTTTCAAAAAATCCCCATTACTGATTCAGGGACCGTCCATTTAATCCATTGTTCTGCTGTCAATGCGGTAAAAAACAGTGCATTTGTGTGTCGTACTGAGATAACTGGCCCCTTAAGTGGTCCATGTTTTAACAATTTGATCTTATCGCGATTAGGCCACTAAGAGGGTGGACTTGTCCGCAAAATTATTGTCCGTCTCGGCGTGGCTGCGGCAAGTAATTTTGTCGCACGATTTTGTAATGCGCCCTTTGTGATATTAATGGCACAAGACGTGGTGCTGATTAGGTAGTTTTCCAGGCTTCCCAAGATTCAGGGCTTAGAACACACCTCAATTCTTTTGCGACAGTAGTCGAAAAATCGCTTGTGACAACTTTCAGGATCTCTCTTCAATTTGCTGGAAAGCTGAGACCACGAGATGAGGAGGAGAAGCTTTCGAGCCTTGTGGACGGCCTGACGGCGTTCGAAGATCTGCAACTCCAAGGGGACTTCCTTGGACCCCCTGGAACCACTGTCCTCGCTCAGTTGCGATTGAGACTTGGTCTCGGCCGTATCGACAGGGCCGTTGGTCAGCTGGTTGTCAGTTGGCTTCGGTGGAGTCGGCAGGCAGGTGTAGAGGTCCCACAAAAAGTCCACGCCGATGAGATCCATTCGCTCGACAGTCTGGAGTACACACAATACCTCGTTAGTGAGCTTTGTTTAGCCGCTAACATCATCGACGACAACTTCCACGCCTTCCAGTGCAGAGCAAATACAACTGCGCACCGTGTCAAAACTTATTCGTTATTTTAATTCTTGTTCTCGCCAAGCGCCACTTACAATTTACTCATTGGACGGGTGCTTGCTTCCCACATATTTTAATGCTCACGTTAACTGTTTTAACATTTGATCCTTTATCGATCGTTTCGGATTGTCCTTCATTTTTACTGGACGAACGGCCAGTGTGATTGATCGTGGACCTCAAAATTTCGCAGACAGTTATGGCTTACAAGCCCACTGAGGTTCAAGACGTTTGGTTAACTAATTATACTACTAAAATGCACCAATATGTTTTTTAGTTATTTTAGGCCGTTTTCGTAAAAAAAGAATATGCAGTGTTTGGAACAACGCAGTGAATCCTTGTAATTTGTAAAAAATTGCATTAAACCAACTGCAACCAATAGAAATGGATTAAGTAGCATCATTCTTACCCAAGTGTCCTGAGTCATCTTGAGTCGACCTTCGTTCAAATTTACCTTAACGAAGAACACCTCGTAAGATTGAAAACCTGAAAATCAACCACAATGAGTATTACTAGCATCAAGAAGACAAAATCTTGTCCACCAGCCTACAGGAAAATCTGCACAAGGTCGTTCATTGGCTTGTTTTAATTCACTGTCGTTTCACGACCAGACATCTTGGTAGTCCACCCCTGGCGTGTCTATTCACATCCCAATCTTTCTCGGCATCTCCGTTTCATCTCTAATTGCCCCCTTCAAAGTAAATTCAGCAACTGGAGATCCAGACGTGATTGGCTGGCTAAAACCGACCTCAAAAAGACCGTTTTCACAACACACGTCTGAAACCACGGGTTCACGGGGCGAATTCGCTTCAAACGGTACTTCTGCCTGATGTCGCGTCATGCTTGAACTTTGCCTCCCAAATGTACTAGCATGGTCCATGCAAGCAAAGGACTGAATCAAACTGCAAACAGCGTACCTTTGAGAGTGTGTATGCTTGATGGTGACAACTTGAGAATGTGCTTGGTAAAGATGCTGTTTTGAGCGTCAGTTTCAAGCAACTCCACGGCCGACGCGAACCAGCGAAGTGTTTTCTACAAAAACCACAAGCAGAAATGTCAGTGACAACGTGATGACGCACAAGGACGGGTGACAAGCATTCGAGCGTTTACTTGGTGGTGCCCTGAAACAGCAGGTCTTCGGTGTAATGTGTCACAAACTTTACATTCAAGAATTTGACTTTATCGCAGAGCCAGACCTTGACAGAATTGTCTACTTAAATAGTGCTAGGATATGTGTTTTAGGTGGAACAGAGGGGGAAGTGGCACAAGGCGGAATAGAGCTACCTCGACATCAAAGAGAACGGGGCTGAAGTCGTTGACGAGGGTGTCCCAGATGCCCTGAGCGCGTTCCACAGAGAGCCGGAGGTCAGCGGTACTCAAGAGGTACTGAAGCACATCCAAATGTCGCTTAATTATCTGCAATCGATAAAATTATGGCATGTGTTACTAAAAGCCGTAAGCGTGCAAATTTTGACCTGGGGAAACACTCACGTCAGAATGCTGGATGACGTTCTGTGGTTCAGAGCTGGTTGAACTTCTGGGCTGCGTAGACACCAGGTACTTCGATGTGGAGGCCTGTTTTTGGAGACGGTGGAGAGAATTGCACACCGTGTCGATGAGAGAGTGGGTTCGGTTGAGGTCACGTAGAGTGTCCTAGAGAACACACAAACCATTAGCTCAAACCCATGCGACCCAATAACAACCCAATGAGGTTTCGCAGATCCCTAATTGTCGACGAATCCAAGCGCCCGGTGCGCTAACTTCGTACAGCGATTGAATGCATCACTAACGCCAAAAGCATTAACTTGTGCACATCCAAATAACAGTCATTTTGCCGTCAAAGTACTGCGAAGTGAGCTATAGCAAGGCCTCCCGGATTAATAAAAGCCGAAGTTTTCTTTCCCGCACTGACGCATGATGAGCGTGTTTGGTTTGGATTAAATCCTTGTCACTTATGCCAAAATTTAACAGAAGCATCTTCTTGACATATCAGATAAATGGGGCATATGAGAACGAGGCTTCGAGGAGTGGAAAAGGTTGTCGGAAAAATAGAAGATATGACGTTAAAAGACCACACTAAGATCTTAATTTGCACTACGAAAAGTTCATAACAAGTGAAGTAACGTTAATCAATAAAGAGGATCGAACACTACCCTGAAAGCGCCCACTCAATTGGGAAATAGAATCCATGGCTCTAAGCCTGGTTCATCAATGACCAAACCACGTTTGTAAAAACGATGTTTTTTTAAAAAAATTATGACAGTTACGACTTTCTGTACCTCTGGCGAGGTAACTCTACGTAACACCCAATCAAACCCCATGACAAATCGCTCGTTTTACATACAGATGCCATTAAATGTGTTAATTGAAACGCTGTTCAGTTGAGTGCTCGACAGAGTTGGTATTCTGAATAATGGTTCGCCGAATATTTTCCATGCACCTGCCGTCACCAGATAAATAGCGCCTTTTTTTGTCGCCAAGCCAACTGGAAACTGGCGATAACAACATTTCAGTTTTGTACTCTTCATTTGGGCGACAGCACAAAAAGCGAAGGTTCTGCATCTCAGCCATTTTCTAACTCTTAAAAATACCTCATTTTTGAATGACAAAACACAAACACACACACACTAAATACCAACCAGACCATCACACCAGGATCTCTTGAATTCACTACTGAAAGCTCGATGCAACATTCGCACTCATGGCTGTTCATAATTTCAGATGTGGCATGAAGTTGTTAATCTGAGTTTAATTGCATTTTTAATTCACACAAAGCTTACCGGACGAAAAAGTGATTCGTACGAAATGCACAGGTTTGTGAAAGAAGGTAGCCATACGTAGTACAAAACAGTTAACGTGGTTTGTTTCGGTCTTAAAATTACTTAACCCCATTTGTCCTGGGAACGTAATAATAGGAAACACGCAAATTTACAGGCAACACCTTCGTACAACATGATGTAAGGCGCAGACAAGGCTTATTTAATCAAGAGAGCAAATGTAAATAGGTGATGTATGAGGTTCAGGGAAACCTGGCAAACTATTCTACAAAAGAGACGAATTCTTTGACAATTCGACTTTCAAGCACATGAATGCAAAAGAGCGATCCTTCAATCGTCGTGTTTTAAAGGTGAAGTGCGGAATTCATGACGAAAATCTCTTCAGAACACTTGAATTGACTAATCCGAAACTTCTCAGAAAGTCAAAAATTGAATGTTCAATGGACAGGGACAAGTAGTAGAGAGGAATGAGGGCATTTGTCCTTAATTCAGACCAATCACTTTTTGTAGAAATTAACCAATCAGACATCGAATGAAACTAGCGTAATGTGAATAAGATTGGGCAATTTCAATCGATCGTTCGTGTTTTTGAACAACCGACAACATTTAGTCATCTAATCATTGGCGTCTTGTTTAGTAGTTAAACTCTGGACTTTGGAGATGCCCTAGTTCGTGTTGTGCAGTTGACACTCGAAATTAGTTATTTCGCTCTTGTCTCATGTGAAATCTCCACCTAATAAAACTGCAAAAGTAATTTTTGTGTTCCTCTTTAATTATATACGAAGGATCGGCGTTTTTTCGAACAACGCCACGGCAATGGCCTGCGCGTGAGCAGATCCAGCCAATTAAGACCAGAAGATGCCATTTGTACGTGATCGCTGTTCCAACCAATGACAGAACGCGTACGAGCAACTGCCCCTTCAGGTCTTCTTGGTGGCGAATGATGGCGTTACCAGGGTTGCCTCGGGTGTCAGGTGATTCTATTGGGTTTTCGCTCACTGGCTTCGAAAAAATTGTTTCAACAATGATTTCACTAGCTGCTCATTACCTGATAGTTGTGCACTTTTGAAATTTACCATCGCCAAAACTCACAGCCTTTTGCATAAATTGACAAAATTGAACTTCAATCTGCCGAGTACGCAATTTTGAAAATTTCATATCGACCGCGCACGCACCCCATTGGTTCACGGCCGCTTTGTGTGTCGATTTTGACATGTCTTGCTTGGTGTTCCTGCTCACCTTGGAAGTTAACGAATCGTCAACAACCTCAATTTTTTTCGAGTTATTCAAGAAGAGGTTCTGGATTCGAGGTGATTGAATCAGATTTCACCACCAAAGTGAGGTAGTCGATCTCTAGGATTTTGGGAATTTACTGTTGGTAATGATCGTCATTACAGACACATGTTTACATCCATGGCGACATGTACAAATTACTTTGGGAAAAGGAATTTGCCTTCGAGGCAAAAGGATGCTGACCTTGTGGGATGGCCTGGTCACATGAAAAATCCCGCTTTTACGTTTACAGGATTTGCCCGTAGTAAACAACTATCAACCCACCAGTATGGCCCAAGCAACGACGGTCAATCGGTGGATTTGAACACAGGACAAACGCATCTGAAAAATCAACCTAAGTTGTGGCATTTCGCTAGCAGTTTTACCACTTTTTCTCATTACATAGCCAGATATTTTTAAAATGAATTGAAGGTGTGGCACAAAACTTGATTTAGGCAGATCTAACTAAGACCATTCACGCGTGTTATCCGATGAGTTGACTAAAGTTAGCGCATTGGCTATGCTAAAAATGCACCAGCGTGGTGGCCTTGAGCCATTGTACACTCCAGGCAGCCGCGGAAACAAACACAATTGTAGAAAATGCGCTATTTTACATTTCACGGCGAACACAACACTCTCAACTGATCTATTGAATGAAAGAAGCACTGTGTATTTTTTTCGACGATATTGGACCAATGAAAAACGTCCTGAAGGAATTTAATCTACGCGGTGGGTTGCAACCACACACAGACAATACAATTGGATGGGCCGGCAATTTACCACAGGGAAGTGATCGCACATTGTTATTGGGTGTTTAAGGAATAAGACAATTAGAATTTCGTGATAATAGAATAAAAACAGATGGTTTATTTTGATGCAGTTGGTTTCTGAACATGCATAATCCAATTTTCTCACAAAAACAGATTTGATTTGTAGCGCATCTGATTCACACAATTTACTGCCATCTGTACGGATCCGAACGTGTGTCGTAGACAGCTGTCCAAAATGTTGCCTTTGGTAAACACTTGCCCTATTTTAGCTTTATCGTTTGTGCTCACAATTTAATCAACCGACATTCACTCATGTGATTTTGATTTAAACAAAAAATAAACAAGTTAATATTTGTATATTGTCACTGAGATTCACTATGCCACTTACGAATGCTGATTGAGGCTGCCAAGTAAAGACTAGCATTTGCTGATGCGTGCGATTATTCAACAACTCCATTTATTCCTACCCTTCTAGGTCGATGACAAACTGGATACCGTTAATTTCCAAATAAGAGAGTGTGACATTACTGGTCACAAAATCCCCGATCCTCCAAGAGACGAAATTCATAAATCTTGGTAAAATTTGTAAAAGATTTACTGATAAAAGGCACCTTAGATTTGACGATCCTCAATCAGTAAAGTGAACAGGAATGGCCCATTCAGGGTGAAATGCTATTGGCTAACTCGAGGTCAGATTGATTGCTCACGAGAAGCCGAACGAACGTAGTCGTGGAATATCAGTGCCAGGGAACTAGCAATTTACCATCCACTAGCTCTCTACAACACCATCACTGGATTCATTTTGAGAGTTGAGCAAGGTTAGATACCAATGGAAGCTTGTGTGATGGTCGCTCCGACAACCAGCTTAGCGGGGACATCTGAAACCAAGATCGCAGCAATCCCTCCTAACTGAATGGATCTCTATGTATCTGCAACATTTTTGAAACCACATCACTTACTACTAAAAAGGTTTTAGCAATTAATAGTTAGGAAAATTAGAAATCTTTAAGATTACTTATCGAATTACGAAAAGTGGGCGACAACAAATTCTTTTTCAATTGTACAACACTAAGACAAGGATTTGGGATTCCCACTTGATTTATGCGTTTCACATCACGAGATGTACATGTCAGTAAATTAACAATTTTACTGGTTTTCCCAGAGAGAGGAAGTTACACGATTTCGGGAATCACATGACACGTGGGGGAGGTGGTAATCGCGTGAAGTTTAACGAATTAACTTTACTACCAGCAGGAAGATCATGTTTGGCAACTCTTGTTCTCATTAGAGATCCGGTGATAAAATCCAGGGGTTAAATCCAAACGAAGACTTAAGATGGAGTACGAGTGCCACTATTATTGATTTCTGTTGTTTTAGTCGATTTTAAGCTTGAATTGTATCGTTCTGAAGTTGGAATTTAGTTAAGCAAACACACAGCTTGCTGCATTCAAATAGACTTATGGAGTAAGCAAAACAAATGATTTCCCTCGACAAACAGCTTTCTTACTACTAGACGTGGTCGAGAGAGAAATTTAGTAAATTTAAAGCCCAAAAATCGCCAGGCATCATTGTGATTTCGCCTCGTCAGGTTTCGAGGCAAGTAGTGTCTTGCGTGGCTCTGAACGTCACGGTCAACAAAGACACGCATGGTGCATAATTTTGAAAAAAAGTTGACTTACGCTTTATGGAGTGCAGTGTATTGCTTTTTCGCACTTGAAGACAAAAGTGATTTGCGAGGTTTAACTTCTGGTTGCGAAAAAATGGGTTAGGTTTAAGTGGTGGTGGGAATTCTACGCCCTGCAAAATGATTGTCACCACAAAAATGTCCATAGTAGAACAGTTGTGGCTAAAGTTGAAACTGCGAAGCTTGCAGAATTTCGACTAGGCTGTATTTACAAGATCAACTTTGTGCTTAAAAAGAACACGAATCGACGTTAAACAAGAATGCTAGAAGGCCCCTTGTACTAGATCTCACAGACGGCTTCAGATCCGAATTTGCTTGGTATAGACGAATCCGAGATTGATATAGCCTATGCCAAATTAACGCGAATGGGCTTAGTGGGAAAAATCAGAGAAGTTCCAATTCTATCGAATAGAGATTAATTCATCACGAACACAACTATAACAACAACCGTACATCGGCATCAGGAAAGCTTCTTGAAGTCTTGGGAGTAAAAAATGACGACTATTTAGGTAAACTTCTCAATGGAACATGGCAAAGAACTTGATAGGCGTTTAACAATTAAAGCAATTACAAGCATACAGATGACCGTTTTGCCCTTTGCCTTAACACAGATTGGTCCACGACTGAATTATTAATTTGAAAGAGGAAAATATCGGTACTGACAGCCCTCATGGAACATACAACCTACTTGTCGGTTATCAATTTGTATAAGGTTATCACAAATATTGTGCCCTTTTTGTGGCGACTTCATGCAATTAAGCTGGCGCTGCCAAGTAGTGGAAGCTCATCAGTTGGTCCATGTCAGTCTGAACCAATCGAAAAATTGGATTGGAGAGTGTGCGGAGATCAGGACTTGGAAAGTCAAAACGACCCAACTGGCACAAGACGACAGTCTACCAATAGCTCAAACCAATCACCTTTCAAATTTTGGGCCACGAGGTCAGTACTTCCAATTCAGTGATCGGTAATCAACCCCCACAAAGACCAACGCAGTCTTGTCTTTGCACAAAAAGTACTGCATAAGATGATTTGCGTTCATCCAATCTGTTACCGCATTCTCAACCCCACCACCCCCTTTTCAGAGCAGGCCCATCCGCATGTACGACCACCACCACCCGCTTCACCCATCTGACCATTCAGACGTTTGCACCATTACTAGTTCACCCAGCCGGTACCAGGCAACATCACCACAACTTCGTTGAGCCGTCTAGTTAACGGTTGTGCCTCGCTCTCTCCGGTCAGCTTAATCTCCGCAGGCATCAAGGCAGCGAAATCGGGCTAGATTCGACACGATGGCCCTGGTGTGTGGCTTATGTCAACATTTCGGGGCCCGCGACAAGTACTTGACAGTTTGGAAGTAAAATGCACCTGGCTTACCTTTTTGCTTCGACCAGGCAGGGGTTTGCAAATGAGATCCAGTATGGTTTGCAGGAAATCCAGGACGTGGTACGTCGACTTGCCCTAAAAACACAACACAAATACGGTCTACTTGCATTGAAAATCGCATTCTTTGGGTGGCTAATTCCCGCGCAAGAAAAGGTGCAAAGCTTAGACAGGAAAGCATGCAGGGAGGGAGAAATACAGATGTAAAATTTTCAGATGGCGCAGAAATTTGTTGTTTTTTTCGTGCCCGTGGATTGCGCTAAATTCTAAGTCTACGCAGATACTTCTAGTTTTTGACTACATCACCTAGGCAAGATGGTGGAGTGATGTGATAAGATAAGAACAACTTCGACGAAACTGAGAAAACATATTGAAGGCAGGTACTGGTGGGAAAGTACAGCCGCTAGATATATTTTTAATGCACCAACAAGCCCCGATCACGCCAAGTAGTTATTTAAATCTTGATTCCCGATTCGGGATAAGAGATTTCATGTAGACCTACAGTAAAAGCCTAGTCTAGCATTTTTACGACTTTCTGAGGCAATTTGTTAGATTTTAAAGTGCTGAGTCAGTAGTGGTTAAAAATATGACAATAATGCGTCTAGAGCCTTCCAGGGATAATGGAATCTACCGTGACTGCCTGAAACCCAAACGCTCACGAAAAACGCGCATTTCAAATGCGCGCGTTTGTCAGTTGTTTAAACGTCTAGAATGTGTTGGATAGAACCTTGTACGCCATTAGGCTCAAAACATTCGGGGAAATCACTGAAACAAATAAGTAGCCCCATGACGTAAACAAAACTGGTTACCTAGCAGCTGACGGTTTTGTGTCTACTTTATTCGACTAATATTATCGTGTTGATAGGAGATTCAGCCAAGACAACCACAAAATTCACCTTTACTTGATTTTGTGGTTGTGGGATGTAATTTGAACTGCTATAATTTATGCGGAAATTAACAGATTTTGTGTTTAAGTATTCGAACTAGGACCTTGTCTTGTTTACTTAAATAAAACTTATTCCAAATGCACATCAGGAAAACCCGTTTCAATGAAGATACGTTAGGCCAGCAAAAGTGCTTCCATACACAGTCCTAGCCAGATGACCTCTAACCATCCAATCGAAAGCCGGACCTCGACCTAAGCGAGTGGTACAGAGCTCGACGTGAAAACAGATGGTCTTCTGGGCATCTCAGGAGACCGCGTCGTTCAAATTTCTCACCGATCGTCTAAATGGGTTGAGCAAAGCAACCTACCAAGACTCAAACTGGACCAAAAAACAATACTAATCCGTCGGGAGGTCAGCTGATTACTGCTCAGCAGTCCCAGGTACGGCTAACATGTGCCGCTGCTTCGGGGCTTTTTGAGTCTGTGTGTGGCTTAGTAGGCAACCCCGTTCACCATCCGTACACGCAAGACGGAACGGGACAAGAAAGTGTGTGCGTTTACCAGTTATACGAGGTCTACGCATCTAGGGATAAACGAGCTTTGTGATTGGATATGACAAAAACTGTTTAAAAAGAAATGTATATGCCTTGTTGCTAGGTTCGGAATTTACGACAAAGGGTTAATTAAATGCGCATCTGTTTGCGTTCTCAGAAACAGTACATAGATGTGGCTCATCAGTAGCCCTCAGAAACGTGTGGAGGGATGTGTGGTTAAGCCATCGACAGGACCACACCAGCATGTAACAAAGTGGGTGAGTTTAACACTTCGCTGATTCGCAAACCAACTTTTAGACCGATTTTACAAGTGCACTTTGGGCTCACTCATTGGTAAGTTCTTCATTTAGTGCTGGATGTGTTTGGAAGGCAAATTCTTTAGTCCACAAGACTAGTGTCAGCTGTTTTATTTTAGCTTTCAATCGCGATACAAAACCAAAGGACGCGGTTTGAGCATAAAATTACACACTTAAAATAGAACTGTTTTCGCGGTAATTTGCGATTTTAAAAGGATTGCACGTTAGGTTCCAGAACACCGAACGACAAGTCTACGTGAGTAGCATGACCTCTCAGAATAGCAGAGTTTACGATGGCAGCTGATAAGCGGCATATTCGGCACTGCATACTGGTCATACGGTGACAGCATAACGCTGCAGACGACAATTGAGCGAAGGACTTGATCAGAGCAGGGCCATTTACTGTGTGACTCAGAAGATCCTCATGAACTTGGGATGGGGATTTCTCCTACAAGCGGCGCATTCACACGACTTGGCCCCATCCGACTACAACTTGTTCCGGTCAATGCAGCGGCAACAGCAGCATGGGTTAGTGAACAAACAGTTCAAAATGCTGCAGACGATGTGCGTGACTTCGTCGACGACTTTATTACCTCGAAGCCTGCAAGTTTCTCTCGTGACAGCATTCGTACTTTACCTGAGAGGTGGCGCAAGGTCATAGAAGGCGATGGACGATGTTCTCTATTTTTTATATTAGATAAATTTGCTGAAAAATCTGCAAAAATTAAGTCATTCACCTAGTATGTACATTCCTCGTTTGGGACGTCATTAGCGACCAAGTGACACGGAAATCATTCACTAGCTCAACAACGCAATTCGACAGTTTAGAAAAAGAGAACCGTTGGAATGGTCTTTTAAAAGAACATGGGCTCCAGATTACGCCAGATTTGGCTGGTAGTTCAGTCACAGTCAAAATAACATTAAAAACCATCGGATTTCAATTGACAGGCTGTCGCATGAGTCTACGGAAAGCCAACACATCGGCGCCGATTTGCCTGCCCTCATGGACACAAACCAAGTTTTGTGCACAGAATTATCGCTGGCTGACGAAAGAGTAGATGGAATGAGACGAGTTGGCAGTGCCGCCGGTGAAGCAGCATTTCCATTCTCGAATGTGATCATCTGCGTTCGGCGGGACTGTGCGAGGCAAGTAGGTTTGGACGCCCGACTACAACACACTGCACAACCCATCAAGGCGGCCATTCTTGAAACCGCTTCCGGTCAAATGCACGATTTAATGAGAGGGATTCATAAATAATGACACAAACTAACATTTGGCGTAAAACCTTTCATTGTAAAGAATTACACGATTCCTCAACTCAAGGTGGTAATTGGCCAATACTGGATGTTGCGCGGACTGACAACTGGTAGTTAAAAGGAACCCAGATGACATCCAGTCAAACGTTGTGAAACCAAATTGAAATGTTTTTGTTGTTATATAAACCTGCTTTTTGAACCGCAAGCTTTCACAAGCGAAATGACTAGAAGTATGACAGTGAAATAAGCAACCTCCTAAGCATCTTATGCATGTGGCAGGGAGGTTTCTGCTGGTTGTCTTAAAAAGGTTGAGATTCGTGAACAATTCACTTACTCGTTTCAACTCTTCCGCGGTGACAGACAGCCAGTTGTTGAGTCGTTGGCGTTGTTCGTTGGCTGGTAGCCTGCACTCGCGGAGGACAATCACGAGTTGAGTGATGGCCGCTTCTGTGTGCTCAGGACAAGTGGGGCTGGTCAGGTGGACGGACATTCCGTTGCCCACGATGCTGCTACCGCCGCCACCGCCGCATCCTCCTCCGCCATTCCCACCGCTGCTCAAGGCACAGACAAACCTCTCCAACTTCCTAACGCCAGATGACGCTTTGCTCTTCTCCTCGGTGTCTGAGATGACAGCTTTGGCGTGGTCTGGCGACCTGGAATTTAGACCGTGGGCCAGCTGCCACAGCAGCTTGAGACAGAGGTCAGAGACCCAGGGTTCGCGAGAAGTGATCGCAGTGGTGGCCACGAAGTTGAGCAGACGGTGGCGTGCATTCCGGATGGTCGAGGGCTCCGTCAGTGGGTGCCGTGCAGAGGTAGTGATCGATAATCTTGGGCGCAGGCGATGCTTCATTGGCATTTTACCTGATGCCGGTGGCCGACTGAATTGAAGGCGTGCCTGAATATCCAGCGCGCACCAACTCTGTGGAAGATGGAAGTCGCACGAAACGGAGTCAAATTAGAAAGCAAACAAGACGGGAACACACAGAGTTATAAGCCAATCATATCCCACATTTATTGATATCGAGAGGGCAAAAAATAATCTTAGCCCAACGCAATCTACCAATAGTCCCTTGATCACATCTCAAGGCAGCCTCATTGGCCACTGGATGGATCTCAATTAGAGGACAGAAATTTCATCCAAACATAGCGTCACCTTGACCCGTTTGACTCTCCTTTTTCTTATCTAGGGGGTTTATTTCAGCAATTAATATATAGCAGTGAATTTGTGCCGCTTCCCAAACGTACGACAGACACCATGTCGTAAATCTGCCAGTAACAGTATCAAGTATAGTGACTAAGTATTCCAGACCAGCCCTTTAGTCAAAACGGATGATAATCTCGAATACGTGGTAGTCTTTTGAGATCGGTTGAAGATCAGATCATTTTATTAAAATAGCTACCCCTCCCAACCGCACAATGCCATGGTTACTTTCAGAAAAGTGGATTTAGCCGAACGAAAGCATAAAATGTAGCCAAGAGGCGTGCAAACTAGACTTAGATGAATTTTAGCAACCACAAAATCTCAAAAATCTTGGTGACTTTTTGGCTACTAAAAGGTGAAAGATAAAGCGGTACTAAACCCAGTTTTTATGCATTCGTTAGTTACAAATTGCTGGAAAAGGTCGCTTCGACGCGAGCGCTTGACCAGTTTTTTTTAACTTCGAAGGGCGCCGTTTGGACAGTTTGCCCATACATGAAAAAAAGTCTTGTTAAAATCACGTTTTTTTGTCTTTGACGTAAATATTTTAGCAAAACTAAACTAGTTTTTTCCGGAAAAAGCCATATTCGTCAGCAAACTTTCAGGCGATCGTTTCACCAATACAATAAGAAGGTGTTTGTCATTAAAGCCAATCATTGTCAAAAGTTGACACTCAATTCCAAAACATTCGTTTAGATGGACTAGGCCCCACTCGTCTGGACTTCTTGCCTGATAATATAAAATGCTAATGTCTATTTGTGAGATTCCTTGCCTTTTAACAAAAAAATTAGACCGTTTGGATGTTTGTTTTACTGAACTATCGCTTGACCTCTAAAGTAAAGTAAAGTAAAACCCCGAGCCAACAATTATCTTCCTCCACAAAGTCCGCTTCACCTTGATCAAATGGCTAAAATAGTATTTATCAGTGTGGAGGCCAGAATTGACCAATAATAGCTGGTTTGTTCGAGAAGTTATTTTGGAAACGGAAGGTGGCGGAATGGCTCAAAACCAATTCAGGTGAACAATTAGCTTCGTTTAAACAGCAATTTTATACGGTTTCGTAAGCCACAGTAATTTGGCACGGATGGATTAACATGCAAAACACGAGCAACTGCCCGAACGTACGTCTCTGACCAATTGGAAAAGGTGCTCCAGTTGAGCCCGGTTGAAGCCGTTCGCGCCGACTTCGGACAGCAGCTTGAGGATGTTGTTGACGCCTGCGTTGCTTTGGGTCTCCTGACACTTCCACAGAGTTGTGATGTCCTCCATTGTGATGTGGTCTCCAAGGCAACGAAACAGCTCACACAATGTGGCCACGTAAGTGACATTGTCCAGATTTGCTTAAATACAAAGACAAGGTACATGAAAAGCCTCAATCCCGTGAGATCAAGTGCTCGGCATCGCAGCACGCCTATCTTTGAGATCACAAAATATGACGGCGTTTAACTAGAACACCGCCCATGTATGAGTGGTTAGACGATCTCCACTAAACGTTGGGTTTACAATTATTTAAACCCAATTTTTTTAAAAAAACTGGTCTTTTTAAGGCTGAATTTGAGTTTTGGTTTAGCTAATGTCATGGAAAGCACATCTAATACTTATAATTGCTGAATAAAGAAACACAATCCACCTCAAGTTTTGGAATCGTCTCGAATACACAGGTTATCTCGTGCAGACCATGGGACAAGAATGGAATAGACGCTTGCGACAAGCAGACACGTCGAAATACTGTCTGGCAGTCCAGACGTGACTGTACCTGGGATTGATCAAACTTACACCGCGAAGATCTATCACAAGTGAGTTCACGCAACTCAAGAGAAAGGATCAACTGCCACTATTCTGAAAGCTACCACTTGACTACTCCATATCTGCAAAGGAAACGAGTGTTCAATAAAAGCGTTAGTTGAATTGATGTTCAGTTAAGTACTCAACCGGTTTTCCATTCAACTGAACGACTTCCAGAACGTTCATTCACAGCCATTCGTAGAATAGGTATCACACGGAAACCAGATAGCCCACATGTCGATTCAACATATTCTACCTAATTGACCCGATACCCAAATAATGACTAGCGTAAAACGGACGTTCATGAAAACCAAAGGTTCCAGCCTCGTCGTGAAACCAATATTAGTTGTCATTAATTGGTTAGGAATTTGTCCAACCGTGGGATTTTCAGCTTCATAAATCCAGTAAAACTCGTTTTACAACTTGATTTCTTCTTTCTTGCCTTGTGAAGCAACAGATTTCAACCAAAAGAGATTGGCAAATAGCACTTGGTAGACAAAGCAGACGATTCCAAAATTGATCGTTTATTGAGTGACAAACTTACTAATGCAAAAGGCCGCATCAAGTACGTAATCCTCACACACATGTCACTTACAGCGTCACCAAGCAATCCTTACCCTGTCGGCTTGTAGATTACCGTTTCGGCTTGCTTTCATGCCGAGAACTTGATATCTCCCTAAGACGTGCAGTTTACAGTCTGGCCATCAGCCAAACAGTAAACAGTAATAAATCACAGCTAAACGGCTCGGAAACGCTCTAAATTAGGCAAGGCAGCCAACCGTTTGATGTTTTGGGCAATTTAACGTGACTGGTTGAAGCACTTCAGTGATCTTTCCCCTAGGTTGGGAATGTTCGATGGATGCCCAGTTTTTAATAAAAAAACATAAAATGCGTGAATCATGTCGCCTGAAGAGCGCATTCGTTGAATGAAAGGTGACTACCAGGTCAAATTCTAACTTAAACAGGCGTTTTCAACAGTTGATCAAATGAGGAGGTTGTGCCCCCTCATTCTGACGGGGTTCAGGCCAGGGACTTAGTCAAGGCATACGATCATTCTGTGGAGGACGGGTTCTTCGCTTGAGGTCAGGTTAGATGATCTGAAGGACCATTCTAATTAGTGTAATAAGCATCTCACCAAGACAATTTTGCGTATTGAATCATATTCCCCTGGCCAATTATACAGATTCGTGTATTTGCGGGTAGAAAGTGTTTTCAAGTGTACAACTTTATCTGTGCTGTCATCGTTACCTTAGGCAACAAGGAATTAGCAACTACATCAGCAGACAGAATGTGGGCGGAATAACGTGGTGCGGTGAAGGTTTGTGGCCAAAACAAATCTATGTTCGTGATTTAGCAGAATTAGCCGTTGAATATAAAGTAGAACGGCATAGATTAGAAGGAACTGCTTACAACTAACGCAATGGCATTAGAAAATACTAGATTTCCGAAAGTACTAGTTGATTTCTGCGACGTCTATGGCTTCACGGAGAAATAATGCACAATTTTCGTACTTTTAGCTTTTTAGGAACAAAATACCACCAGCCCGCGCGTGTTCACACGCTTTCCGCCTGTGATTTAATGGTCGTTTTCGCTTTACCACATGCACTAGTGCTAGTAGTCCCCATTCAAACACACATGGCCCCTATACAAGGCCGAAAATAGATTCCGAGCAGCCCAAAGTGGCCATCCACAATTACCAGGCATTTTTCATAAACTCGTCCATTTACCTTGCTTTGTGTTGGATTTCCTCGGAAACAGATAACTGCAGTATCGTTATCTGATTTCGTGATGCAGCTGGTCTCTGGGATTTGTACAATTAGCTCTAACAAGACTGGCATGAATTTCGAAAGTGACTTGTTAAGGGTTCATCAGAACACTTGCTAAATTACGCCAACCGCAAGATGCCTCCCTTCACATTGGCACGCATGGGCGCAAATGGGGGTCAAGGTTATTGCTTGTGTCTACGGCAGCGATTGGCTCGATTAGACGCGAGTATTAGTGCAGCATTCGCAAGGTCGACCAATCAGATGGATTGCCCTTGCGTTCGTTGAGGGGACAACGCATGGGTGCGGCAGTGATTAGGCTTCCTTTATAACGCACACAAACAAGAACCGTGTGTATAGGCACATTTCCACAACCAAGTTTCCGTCCAAAATCAAGGGCAGAAACTTGGTTTGCGAAATTCCTCCCACCTCGTGATCAAGGACGTCGGTATACAGACACGGTGATCTGGAAATGCTATCACTTCACAACATCAAAACAACACTGTGGTTCTTTGAAACAACTCCGACAACCCAATCAAGAACCGTCGAATGATGCGAGGGGACCGGGTGGGTGGTGATGGTGGTGGTGGTGGTGGTGGTGGTGGTGGTGGTGGTGGTGGTGGTGGTGGTG